TCATTCACACTTTGTTTGTACTGAAAATATCATCAGAGTGAAATGGCTTCCTTTAAGGTAATCAGCACCTTTGGACAACTGCAGAAGGCCCATGTGAGAAACTCATGATGATTTATCAGATCTTTGTGGATAATGAAACTGGGAACAGACAGACAAGCACATGCATGCCTGAAGGTTTTAGTAAGTCATAGTCTGGAGTGATAGAAACAGCAAACATCAAAGCAAATGCCGTCAAGCCAAATACCTGATGGATACACTGCCATGAAAACTGTCTCTGTATGCAATGAATTTGTGTTTGTTGTTGCATGTACAGACCGTCACTTCATGGCATCAAATGTCATACTACATACAGTAAAACACGGCTTGTAAAATTATGTTGTGGTCAGATATATCACAGTTGAAGGTCCACCATGATTTTTACTTGTCCCACACATAAAGCTACAGTATACCAATCCAGACAATCAACCCCTCTAGCCTGTCTTAGAGGGGTTGATTGATTGGCTAGATGGGTTGATTGTATTCTGTTGTCACGTTTGTGTTGTTGTCTTACCTTGCGGTTGTATAAACATTGCGTACTCACCAATTAATGGGAGAGTAAATACGTCACTCATTCGATAGCACTGGCGTTGCCAGCAAGATAGGTTTGATTCGACAAATCTGACCAGTGTCTCACGATAAATGCACTGATGTTAATGTCTTTTTAAACTTGACCGCACAGACAACTGCAACTGTTTTATTAATCTAAAAACACTGAGCTATAATCAGATGCCCCTGATGTCTGATTTTAGAGAAAGAGGGGCATCTGGAATACTTTGCTTCACTCCAAAGTCGTCGAAATCCAGTGCTTGGGCAGTGACTTGCAGTGTCGGAAACCAATGAAAAAGGTGTGCATGATGCGCGGCTGGTTGCCGCTGGAATGCGGGAGGTCAAGGGCGAAAGTTAAGGCCCTGAAAGTCCAACTGGGTTGGGCTAGACGGGTATTGGATTGGTCCAAAAAGACTCCCACCCGAGGGAGTGGTGTTCACGTCCCGTAAGATTCTGAAGCCAAACCCTTTTCGTTTTTCCTAAACCTAACCACGTGTTTTTGTTGCCTAAACCCAACCACGTGCATTTTTTGTTGAAGGAAAAAAACATCAATTTGTGGTGTTGTACCGATGTAATGTGTTTATTTTGAAAGAGACTAAAACAGAAGTGTATTTTGAAAGAAGACAATGCATATAACAAGCAGAACTTGACAAGGTGTCCCAGAAAGTCCACAACCAACACACCAAGGGTACCTTGCATGTTGTATGTGGACGCTAATATGTGACGAGATCAGAGTGAGAATGTGTTGCATTCCAGGAAAAGGGTCTCCTCCACAAAGGTGTGGATTTTGGGGGAAATGCAGGTACACGTCCCTCTCAGTATTTAGAATGTGCATTTGTCCCACCAAATAAAAACAGGAAAATAGCAGAGGACGTTTATTTGAACAAAACTAGTGATATTTACACCATAAATTGGTGCAGAAACATTCACCAGAATGCAGGAAATAAAGTGTTTGATGCTCAAAATTTTTCTGGCAGAGAACCTCTAAACTCCCTGTTTCATATGTGTTTTAAAATGGTCACAGCTCTCAATGAGTGTGTTGGTGTCAGAGGGGAAAGACAACACAGACGGTCGAAGAGGATCGCTTCATTGTGCTTGGAGAATATCACTGCAGATTACTGGAGCGTACTTTTACAACTTTTATCCTTTTATTCTAAATCTTCAACACAGATCTCACACCAAAACTCTATTGAGAAAACCCAAAGCACGCATATTCAGAACAAATACAAAGCTAAGGAGGCAAATACAGTCGTCTTAGAAGTATAACGCACTACTGTAGGTGCTGTTTTCAAACACTGAGCTACTGTTTGAATGCAGCAACTGCAGTACGACACTGATCTACTGCTGCACTGTTGTTTTAACCCCCTACGGGAGCTGTATGGCATGTGTTCAAATTTTTCAGTCGTCACAAAGTGATAGTAACAGTCTGTCACGCATAAATTAAGAGGAACATTTTTGTGTGGCAATTTCCCTGTTATATTCTACATAATGCTCACAAATGCGCCCGGGGGTTAGTCACATGCTCGGCAGCTGTAACTGTTATGGCAAATAATGCATAAATAGTTGTTGGTGACAGTTGTGGATGCAAAAAACATCAAATCTGATAAGAACACTGCTTTGTAAACACACACACACACACACACACACACACACACACACACTCTTTCTGGGATCCTTTCTTTTTAAGGCTAGATTGATGCCAATTAGTGGATAAACAATATTCTACAATTTAATTGTGCACATAACATATATGAGAAGATCTGATGAACATGTCACAAGATTAAGCAGTTAGTGATCATTTTAAATATTGAACTTAACTGTTAAGATTTCTATATATCATTGATTTTAATGTTTTTTAACCAAACTTGACCAAAGCCATTATTTATGTATCAAACATTTGGTTTGGTTGAAGAATTATTTATTGAATTTATTGACTATAACAATGTTTTTGTGTCCATAAACCCTCAGACATCCACCACCCTGGAGATATAATATTACAAAGTGTGGAGATTGGTCTGGATGTGACACTAGCGCTAAGGTGACCGCTCAAAGAGCGGTGCACATCAAAACAGCTAATGTTAGCTTTGAAGGAAACACTGGAGAGATTCAGCCAGACTGAGCCTCAGTCAGACTCAGACTCAGCTGAGGAGTCTGCTGTGCATCCAAATCAGCGACTAGCAGAAGTGTCAGAATGTTAAGTGTTGTTGGAATTTTTTATTGTTTATGTTGTTAGCTTGTTAGCTTGTAACTGGCAGTGGCTGAAACAGCATTAATGGTTCTCAAAACATAGACTATTATCAGCTACGCTGTTATACTGTAGTGTGTTCTTGTTGTTATAATGTGGTTATATCCTCCTGAGGTCTGAACTTTTGTTTGGTATGCATTTTTAATTTCTCCTATCAATAGGGCCCATTAAGTATAAAACATTAAACACTGTCAACAATAAAGTCCCAATGTCTTCAAACAGGTACCTTCTAATTCACAGTATCTTAGCTTGTTGCTGTTGCTAAATTTGGTCTAATTTCTTGCCATATAAGACTATAAACATAAATAAACAAGTTTCAACCATAAACTGTGATCAGATTTTGGACCTTGTCCACTTTTGTGTCTGGTTCGGCTGCAGACTGACTTGGCAGAGATGACTGCCATCTTGTTTGCACATGGATTAGAGTATTGTGGTCTTACTACCACTAGGTGGCAGAAAAAAGTGTCCATGATTGAGAACAACAGGTCTAAGTTAAGTAGAGTGAAGTATAAGGTCAAGTAAACCCAGTATGTGATGCCCTGTAATGAGGACACGAGGTCTCCGTAGGATATACCAGAGGTCGTATCAAAGTTTGTATAAAGATATATTCTGTCTGGCTGAGATTCTAATTTTGCACAGACAGCGCCCCCTTCAGGAGAAGAATGTGAAAACACTTCTCTAGTGACAATCTTTGCACAGATACAAGTCAGTATAATCAAAATTAGACATTTTCGGGGAAACTAACGGGAAAAACCCAAAACAAAACAAAACAGAACAAAACAAAAAAAAAAAAAAACAGTTTTGAGTGGAGGGGGACTTTTAGGTTTCACTTGCTTACTGTGCTTTGCAATGTATTTTTTTTTTTTTACAACATAATGTTCTTTTTGAAAATAAACTCAATATTAGAAGAGACAGGAAACTAATCTACTGATGTACATACCACATGTTTATGTGTGTGTAATTTCGCAAAGGTCTAGCGGGCAGGACAGCAGGGGGTAAAAGGTCAAATTTCTTTGATGTTAATTATTTTTTGTCTTGGCTTTGTGTTTGAAGAGGCTGGCCTACAGTGATTTTTGTTTCTGTGTATGGAGTCATCAGGCGTTTTAGGTGTTTGTTTGTGTCCAGTGTCCATCACATCAGTTTTATGTATTCACTATATTAATGTATTACCTTATTATGTAACTGTATGATTTAAGATGATCTTATTCCGTTACCAAGCCTATTTTACACCAATTGATGACCCTCATTAGTTGTAGAGTGTATTGAGTTGCGGTCAGTTGATGTGTATGTCTCTGGTCATGTAATGTCCCATCCTCTTATTCATCTAACATAGCTGCCATCAGCTGGACTGTGCAGGACATTACCAAAGGCATTCCAGTTTCACTTTAAAAAGTTCTGAAGTCAGAACTTATCAGATTTAGACAGATGCAGATGTAGATGTTTACCCTGCTGGCACACACAAACTTTAAAGGCAGCAGTGTCCCTGCAGCACTGATGGGAACATGCATGGTTGCCTTTGAATGTGTGAGGGGAAGGTGGTGATGGTGGAGGGAACACATGATGATGTTTATACTGGCACATCGAACGGTGATAAGATGGGAGGAGAAGGTGTAGACAAAATGTCTCTGATGTGTTCAGTGGACTCAGCTTTTGCTTAAATAATGTGTTGTGGGTGCAGGTTATTACTGTAAACCAGATCTTCATCGTAACATGTCTGGTTAAGGATTACAGAGTGCAACTGCTAAATCTTTGGCATTATTGGCTAAAGGGTAAGTTTGACCAAATTTTTATCACTTGCCTCTAGTAGTATCTAGCTGTACTGAAGCCATGCAGAGCTATTTCTTTTGTACAAAGTAGTAGTTAAAACATTTTGGAGTAAGGTCTGTGGATTATCCTCAGTAACAGTTGTTAGTGAAGTTGTTAAATGGTTTGCATTGCTTTGAGCAACTACTGCTTTGTGGTGGTGGCATAAATCTCAAAGACAGATCTCTGAGATTTTATCTAAGAAAATAAAACTGAAACTATCTACACTACTAGTGAATTAAAGTAGAAAACTGTGCCTTCATGTTATTTGGATCACTGTCTTTTTTAAATGCAGCATGATTGAGGCTGGTTTGAACAATAACCTGCACCCATAAAAGTTTTATACTTTCTGTTATCAGTGTCTTACCTCCGCATACAGTCCAGAGCACGGATGAAGAAATCCTTGCTGAGCTGGTGTTCATCACGTAGGAGAGCACACTGCTCTAATGTGACAGACATGGATGTCCGGTCTTTGGCACTTTTACAGCTGGTAAACCTGATGCCATTTAACCTTCGGCAGATCTGGAGGGAGGTGGAGAAAAACACGCACAATGTTTACACGCATCATTAATTCATCATCATCAAACAGTTCATCATCTAACTGTTCCTTCTTTGTCAGTAAAAGTGACTCATCTTGAAAGAATCTTCACCTTGTTTGCACTGTGTGCAGTTTGTTCAAACACTGACTTTAAAGGCAGTTTGGAGTAAAACTGCTCACATATTTTATTACGCAGTAAACTCATACAGTTTACATTTTACTCAAATAACACTGGATAACTTAAATTATGCATTTTTTCTGACACTCTACAGATTATCTGCCTTTACTCATGCCAGCAGCATGACTATACGTAGAGTAGAAAATGATAGATTGATTGCCGCAAAACTCTGTTGAGACATTCATGATCCCCACAGGATGAATTATAATAACTCTGATGATCGTCTAGCTTTTCCTCTAGTGCCATCATCAGGTCAAATTAATATGTTCAAAACTTCAGTTTATACCAAATACCACCCTCAGCTGTCCTATGTGTTTAGTGCTAACATGCTAACATAGGGAACATTATACCACCTCAACATCACCACACAGGTGCTAGCATGACTCTAGACTCTTATGACAACATCTTAGACCCAAAGTGATGCACAGCACAGTGCAACTGTCATTGCTAGTTTCAGACAGACACAGCTTTACAGCCAGCAACCACGTTATATAATTAGCATAGTACTTGCGCCCATGTGTATGCCCATTTGTATGCCTGTGGGCATGCCAGTCTTACAATGAGGTGTGGTCGGGCGCATTGTTGGTGTATTGATATTTTGAGGCAGAGGAGATCCATTTCACCATTGACCAAAAAAAACTTGGCGAAAAGAAGAATGGCGAAGTATTTTCCTGGGCAAATTATTCACAAAATAAGACATGCCTACACAGGCGGGTTCACAACCCACTTACACTCTGCTTGTTACACACACAAGGATGTGTAGATGGGTGAAATAAGAAATAAATAAATAATGAGGAAAATATTATAGTGAGTACATTCTCTAAATGTGAACGTAGCAGAGAGCAGAGCAGAGCTGCTGGCTGCTGCATCAAGAGAGACATGTTGCACATTCATGCACAAGGAGCTGCATAACTTCATAGATTATTTCAGAAGCTAAAAGTTAAGTTCTGTTTCCTCTGTCAAGTTTACAAGTACAGATTTTAGTTTTGCTGCTTGAATGTCCCACATTATTTTCTGCAGTGACATTACTGCTCTTATTGCTTTACTCTGAGCAGAAAACCGTACACTTCTCCAATTTGCTGAATCGGCCGTGTAAATAGCAGTGAACCAGGTCAAGGGACGCCAGGCTTTCAAAGGAAATGGGAGATGACACTCTGATTGATTGAATTCATGTGTTACCCCAAACACTTATGATTAATAAGGAGACAAAATACAACCCTTTTGCCCTTTGCGCCTTATTTTGCACCCAGATTTTGCACCATTTAACATTTGACAAAAGTGCTACTGGACACACCCTAAATGCACTTGTGTCATGCACTTTAGACCATGCGCTATAGATTGTTTAAATGGGGCCCTTAGTCTTGTTTTAACAGATTCTTACAGTAAGTTCTGTGAATCACATGCACTGTAGGAACATGTATAACACTTCACTGACAGATACTGAATATCAGGTGAAAGGTCAGCGTCTATACCGTATCTTCTTCCGAAGTCAATCCATCATGTTCAGGCAGTTACAGTTTGTTCGGCTCAACGCTCCCATTAAAGCCCATGAAATATCAATATGTCAAAAACTTAACACTAGACTGCATCTAAGCGTTAACACATCGCAGTTACCTTGGTTATTCATGACAGAAAGTTTATTTACACGGTTCAGAGAAAACTGCCTTCCTTGACAAGGACAGAAAGTCACAATGGATGCACTGCTCACCGTTCCAGCAATCCATAGTATCTCCACATTCTTTCTCTTCTTTGTAACTACATTCTGGCCCAGGGTTTCAAGTAATTCCTTTATGTCAGTCTGTGTCTGAAAACACGGTAGACCTGTTCATAGAAGACACAAAACACACCGCCCGTCAGTGGTTCTTTTATTTGTTTCGATCTAATGAAAATAAAAGTTTGAGGCCAGATTGTGTGTTAACACACAAAAGAAATAAACCTTCACTTCATCCTTCTCACACTTCGTTTTAGATGATTAAATTACAAGACCAACTTTCTAACTGATAAAGTGGCAATGTATTGCTGTGATGTGGTAAACTCATAAGATACTCAATGCATATTAAAACAATTTAAACAATTATTTGCCAATACTGTTTTCCCCCACAGCTTTGTAACTGCATGAAACAATTGCTTTCTTCCACAGCAGTAACCTGCAACACAAGTCCCACTATTTTTTCAAAGATTTACAAAGATAAAGAAAAGAAAATTGCGTACTTACATTCTAGTGGCACCTTTTCACTTAATGATTTGTAATAGGCTTCTAACATCTCAAAGTTCCTCTGGTTTATTCTTTCTTGTAGAGAGATATCGCCAAACCTGTGAGGATGACGGAGAGGGTAAGGGCAGTGATGTTCGAGCATCACCAAGACGCTCCAAAAAACTTTTTAACAGTAAACACTTTATCATAATGGCGAACAGTGAATGCTGCACTCAGTTGAAAGAAAAGGTGACAGAACATTAAAATAGTTTAGAGAAATCCTGAAACATTTTCAACCAGTTAACATAAGCAAATGTGTAGTTACATGTCAAACTCGTTCTTTGCCTATGAAGTAAAGTGACTACACCATTGCAGTTTTGAATGCCTCCTGCACAGATGGATTACTTTAATTCAATGTCTGTATATAGATGCACTTTGCAAGAATGAAAAACAAAGAATAAGCCATGCATGACTCCAGTTCTTTGTGTGGTTATGATACGTTTAAGACTACATTGGCCTTGGTTAACAAGTTCCCTCAAAGAGTACTTGTCCTTAAGTGCATTAGATTAAAGTGAACAAAGACTGTCAGCGGTACCTCTCTGCTATAGTTTGCTGTTCATTGATGCCCACGTTAAACAGCACCGGGAATACTCGTAGAGGCTTGCCCTCCTTGATCTCTTCTGGCAAGGTCTGGAAAACCAGTCGTGGTAATGGCACTTCTACAGTGAAGTGGTCTCTGAAAGCAGGGAGAGAGAAAAAAAGAAAAGGAAGGTAAAAGAGAAACATGATTAAACAGAAATTCAATATGTTTTGCAATGCTGTAGAATCTGATGTTTGGGAAGTTGTACAATTTGACACCTAAGACAGGCTTGAGCAGGCTGTATAAAGAGAGACTGATTGTGTGTATGCATGAGAGAAAGTGAGTGTAAGTGTGTAAAACAGATTGCCTTACAGATTGACACAGAGGGGGGTGGTGCAAGAGGAGTGTATCGTTTTATCACACTTGGCACAATGTCCACAGCGACCAGCTTGAGGAAACTGGCTTGACCTTACTGCGGCAGTGAACTATGGCTTTAGTGCAGTAGGGGGAGGGTATTCAAACTGCGGAGGCATGACAGCACAGTTGTGACTCCTGAAAAAAATATTTAACTCATGTGGACAAAAGTTCACCAAGATTCAAAATTCAGAGCGACTTGCTCATTACCGGCTGTACAGTACAACAGTGCTCCTTGGTGTGTTATCACAAAGCATTTTCCCCATTTTGTAGGTCACTTGGGACTTTTTTTGGCCCAAACAGCTCATACCTTAATGCCCCTTAGCACCAAGCCTTGCTATAATTTTTATGGACAAACAAATGCACCCATTGTTGCAGGAATTCGCCCCCGAAGCACCAGATAAATCACAAATACCTATAATAATTATGGTCAGAGAGCAGGTAATAAATACTCTGTAACAAGACAATAACTGAACCCATGCCCTAGGGTCCGGAACTTAATTCACTGGCTGAATTTCGGGGGGAAAAAACACAAAAACAGAGCAGACAACCACTTTTGATCTTAGTAGTCAATTACACTACCAGCACTTTTACAGCAACTAATAATTGGAACTGTTCAATACTCATTATTATTAATTATTAATAATGTCTTTGTATTTTTTAAATTACTGTTCACACACTCCTGTGACTCCTTAAGAAGAGGCACATGAAGTTCACCTTAACACCTCTGCATTCTCATAGTGTGGTTAATATTTGATCTGAAACTCGTGAAAACACTCAGCTGTAGGAATAATGAATGAGGTTTCTGTTAATGTGAAAGTCTGGACATTGAGAGGGAGGTTTCATGAGGTCAGCACAGTAAACAGATTCTTGTCAAAGAGGAAATGACTGGCTATAATTAGCTTATGTTAGAGTGAAACATTTGTACAGTAAAGCTCAAGTAAACGGAGACTGTGCGGAGACAGTTCTACTCTGAGACTGTGATTACATTCCTCTAAATTGAGATTCTGTAATATATGTTGTAAAGACTTTGAAGGAATTTAATAAAATGTATTAAGTTCAAACTGTGGCAAAATATGGATGCCTTACACACATCTACAACCCAGCAGTACATAAGATCCATACAATCACCGCAGTTTCACAATGGAAGCCCAACATTAGTGTCGCCAATTCAGTACCTGACCAAATGTCTACTCTTCTGTTCCTAACGTTTGGCCTGCATAGTCAGTAAACATTATGATGTCAGTGAAGTTGACCTTTGACCTTTTGGAAATAAAATGTCTCCACTTCATAATTTTATCCTATTAGGCATTTGTGTGGAATGTTGTCATAATTAGTGTATGAATTCTTAGGTTATAGCCAAAAACATGCTTTGTGAGGTCACAGTGACCTTTGACCTACAAAATCTTATCAGTTCATCATCTACATATACTACTACCAATAAATACAAAATAAATACATAAATAAAAATAATTTAAAAACAATAAAGAAAATAAAATTAAAATAATAATGATAATGCATTTTATTTATAGGCGGCATTCAAAGCACTCAAGGACACTTTACAAGACACAGATAAAAAAAAGCGGCAATGTATCCATAGATCATAACATCAAGCAATTCTGTAATATACAATAAAAGTTAATAAAATGACCAGACAAAAACTCATCATCATCATAAAGTCATCATCAGTGCAGGTCTCCATGTGAGTTGGATTGCAGAAAAGGATCTAAGAGTACAGGCCGGTGTGTAGATATGAAGGAGTTCAGAGATTCAGAGTTCAGTGTATGTGTAAAGTTGAGTAAATTCCCTCTGGGTGTTCTTAAGCTATCATGTTCGTGAGGATGGGACGTATATATGTATGGACAGACAACCTGATTACGTAACCCCTCCGGCCATAACTGTTGTCGTTGTGGAGGCATAAAAACTGTAAGACCTGTAAAATAAAGCATTACTCTCAAGTCTTAAAATGATGCTTGTAATATTAATGCTCGTTGAGAGACTTACAATTGAGTTATCTGCACTTGTTCCTCACAGTGTACTGACCTGCTGACATTAGTAGACGCCATCATCTTATACAGAGACTAAGTGGATGTTACATTCAAGCAAAGAAAAGCAAACAGAGAAGGAGACGATGACTCACCGTCGGCCACACACTAAAGGCTGGAGGTCACTGAGGTCGTCTGTCTTGGCCTCTGTAATCTGGAACACGACTCTCTGCAGGTCTGAGATTCCAACCTCCATGTCCTCCAGCATGCCGATCTCCTCACCTTTAACAGTTCAACAAAACTCAATTAGTACCGATTCAATTATTGCTCATCACACGTTTTTTTATTTATTAAAACAAAGGTGAGTTCAGCTGAATTTTTAAAATGCCAGAGGGCTAAACCTGGATTATGAATTTAATTAAGAGCCTGCCCATGTTCTATTCTGCAGAGGGATTACTTTCATCATAAAGAGGGTTAAGGCGAGACATGGCAGGCAAAAACATCTATTTTTCATGCAGTGGTAAATTTTGAGATTTTGGGCTAGTTTACTCCTTGAATATGTATTCTTTCAAACTGCTGTAAATAAAACATTCAAATTAAACATTTACATGTTTATGTTATTACATGTTGTCTACTTGCGGCAGTAAGTTTCTCCCAAATTTACCAAACAGTTAATATGTTTATTAGTTGGGTTACTACAGTTGTCATGTTATTAAATGACCAATTTTCATGAGCTTGAAATATGCTATATTATTACTTAAGGTCTGAACATTTATTCTGTTTGTGAGCAATTGTTTCCAATAGAAATGTATTAAATTCCCCTACGTAAATCTTTGAATGCTGTTTTCTCAAAATTAGTTTTTTGTCATACACCAAGTCGAACATCTCAGCCTCTGTAGCACCTGTGTACACCAAACTTTCCAGTTATACACCTAGCTATATTCTGAAGATATTTACAGAGGGATTTGTTAATAAATCATTCCTAGCCTGATTTATGTGACATTTTATTCCCAAAAATATGGCGAAAATCGATTTTTTTTTAAAGGCTATGGACAGTATATTTTGAATTTCTACGTAATAAAAGCAGATATCCTTAAATCCCTCTGTATTTTTTTCATCTTATATGTAAACAAAATGAAAAAATAATTTTACAGCTGGCTGTATTTTTTTTCATACTGTTGTAAGTAATCAACTGAGGAAGTTTCATGATGATATCTTTTATTTTTAAATTTTACCCTATTCACCTGTAGTGTCTCATCATAAAATGGGTGAAGGCGTGAGCTGTCTTTCAGCTGTTTATTTTAATGACCCATCCACTTCACTTCCTTGAGAGCTGCACTGTGAGTTTTGGCAAACCAGAGTGAATGAGAACTTTGATCTGAGTGGAGCAGGTAACTAGAAGAAAGGAAACTACAAGGAACTGATCTGATAAGAATCCATCAATGGCACTCTGGTCAACCCTCACCTGAAACACATATAAAGTATAAAGAAGATATAAAAGTGCCTGTAGTAAAAAGCAAAAAAAAAAAAAAAGCAGTGAGTCATCACTTTGCACTTTCCTTTGTACATGTTATGATTCGTTACAGCTTCACATTCACTCAACATGTTAACCATTCTTTTATGATTGTCCTATCTAGAAAGCCAATAAAAGTGAACAGCTGTGTTCAGTGGAGGTTTTGAGGTTGCCAGTCCTGATTTTAATCTTAAGAATTGACTCACTGTAGGTGCTGAGCAGACTCTCAAACTGGGCCACCAGGCCAACCAGGTGGAGCTGCCTCAGGAAGCCTTGGTCCTGCATTCCTGCGTACAGCCTCATGACAAAACCACAGGCTAAGGCTGCCAACTGTGAGAAAAAACACACACACATACACACACGCGTTTAAGCCGACTCTCCTTGAGGTTGTCCTTGGCCCAAACAGCAGTCACAAACTGTATGCACATAAAATGGTAAGCAAAGAATGTGGTAAATGGTTGAGAGATTTGTATAGAGCCTTTCTAGTCTTCCGAACACCAAAAGTGCTTTTACACTTCTTGTCACAATCACGCACATTGTCATACACTGGTGGCCGTGGCTACATTAGAAGATGCCACCTGCTACTCAGTTAAACATTCACATGTACTCACATACCAATTGGCCAGCATCAGGAGCAATTTGGGGTTCAGTATCTTGCCTAAAGATACTTTCACATGCGGACTGGAGGAGCTGGAGATCAAATCACTGATCATTTGAATAGTGGACAATGGAAACTACAGCTGTAGCCTCACAGCTGAATTAATACATCAACGTCTGAGTTGTAATTCTCTTATGATAAAGAAAGTTGTCACTGCATTGGTAGTAGTTTGTTTTAAGCTTGTTGAAGTAGGTAATGTAGGATTAAGTCTTGATACATAACCTGTCAAATGAATGGAACCTGTTGGAGTAAACTTGACAGCTTACATTTGAGTGTATGTGAACATTAAATGACGTGTGAGGAACAGTTTTAATGTTGTTTAAACAAGCCAGGCACGAGATTGGACTTTGAGCTGCACTTTGGACCACTATGGACAGACAATTAGATGATAAACTGTTTTACAGTCCAACTGACTGAAATTAAAAAGTCCAGGTTACTTTGACATTTGAATTTACAAAGTGAGAGATTGTCAGTGACTGGTTTTGTAAACATAAGTGGAAAACAATCAAACATTTACTAGGGGTGTCTTGCAAAGAAAAACCTCCAGCTCAGATAACCTAAGACAGGTAAACTGCTGAAGACTTCTGAAGAATTGTTTATTATCTCGGTGTGGCTACCTACTGCCTGACTGAAGACCACGTCTCGCCTCTGTTGGAGGAGGAAGCCCTGTGGAATGCTGCAGGCTGCCTCCTGCAGGAGCACAAAGGTCATGGCTCTCTTTGCCTTCTCCACCACCTCCATCACACATTCAGTTAACCTGGTCACCAGAGGACGCAGCTGCTCCCTCCAGTCGCCTGCAGAGAAGGAGGGAATAAAAAGGGGAGGAGGTGCAGACATAGATGGAATGACAGTTATGATGTTGTTGTAGATTACAATATGTCTTAACGCCTGTGTTCACAGCCAGAAACAACACAGAGTTTATCTGCAAGGTGAAACCGGTTCAGCCATTCATGTTTCTTAGCAAGTGGGGAGGATATACCGGAAAGGGAAACTTAAAACAACACACACATATTTCAAGCTGTTTATAGGAAACAGGCCAGTTGTGAACTAAAGGAACCCACATACAAAAACGGAACACAAAAAACATGTATGCACACGATGGGCATAAAGTTATAAGCACATGGTCTCAATATTTTTGTTATTTTTAGGCAAAGTGTATAATGGCAAATAATTGGCCAATGCATGTATCTTTCATATCAGTAAATGTATTTATTTTACTTTCAGTGCTAGTGTTTCCTCAGGGCAACACTTTGGCTCTTTTAAAATCACGCAAGTGCAACAACAAGCACAGAGTTGTCGGTCAGGGGCTGTACGGGTGTCTCCAAGCACACCTGCTATTTTGGTTTATGCATATGCGCAGCTGTGGAAAGTGTAAAGGGGCTGGTTGAATTAAAAATATGGATCATAGGGTGTGGTGATAATTATAAATATCAAGAATAAATAAACTTTGAGCCAGTCACATCACTGGTCTCACAGCTCTGCAACAGCTGTGCCAATCAGCAAAGTATGAAAACATTAACTCTACACTCCTCCAGGAAATTATATTGTTGTTTGGATAGTGGCACGACGTGAACACACAGCACCGCAAATCTGCAACCAAAGGCAGATGGTGAGCAGTTTTTTAACAGTTAATTAGCACGCTGACAAAAGAAATAAATCATCTGAAAAAATTGTTTGTTGACGCCATTTACATGATTGCATCAATCCGACGCTATTTCAGTCATAATTCTACACCACATTATGTCCTAAATAATCACATCATATCATAATTGATGTGACACACCAGTATTTGCATCATAATACAAGTCAAGAATAAAACTTCAAACACCATGTTTGTTTAAAAAAAAAAAAAAGTTGGGATGGAGGCAATGATGAACATAATTAATGAACATAATTAAAGTAATCTGATGTCTCCCGAATAAACACAGAAAATAAGTAGTTCTAATGAACCACTCTGATGTGTGTGTACAGGTGTGTGTGGTTGTTTTTAACAGCCTGGTGTCGTTTGCATGTAATTTAATCAAGGTAAACACAGTGTAATGGCACCACGCTGTGGCGCGGCACTTCTCAAATCAAAGGCGGAGGATTTATCAACATATCTGTCCTGATGCCTTCAGACAGCTGCATGAACTGAGAAGGGCAGTTCGCAGCTGTGTACAACAGATACTGTAAGAATGATCAGATCATTTATAGATCAATGCAGACTGCTTTAACTATATTAAACCTTTTTTTTTTTTATTCTTTTTTATTAAGGCAGTTGGGACAGAAAACAATCAGAAACAGCAATATTCAAACAAATGCATATACTCCCCTTCTTTGGGACAAGAAAGGGTTACATTCTGCCACATTGTAAAAAGACAACAAAAGGATATTCCTAACAGTATATTTACAGCCATTATGCCATAATGTGAGTACATCATATCAAAACAAATAGATGTGGCCATACAGTAGCCCCTCCATTACACCTTATTTTAATGCAAATTCAAACACATCTATTGAATTTAAACAGTTTGTTTTCATTTTCATCATCATTAGGTTATCGCTGTGCCTTTGCCCCGAGTATTTCCGATGAATCTGACAAAGTCATCACATTGCCAGAGGGATGTCTAAAAGCCAGTGTCCACCAAAATACCCACAACCTGTTTTCCACTGCCTCATCTAAATCAATCTTCCACCTGTGCGCCGCACACAGTGCACAAGGCATCAAAATAACACACAGCCCGGCAAAGCAAATTTCAAGTCAGGAAAATACCAAACTGAGTACTGCTTGTGCTGGTCATTGCTGTACAAGAAAAACATGGCCCCTTAAATTTACTGCCCAAATGCCGAACAGCCACCTCACACTGTACTGTAGGTCATTGAAGACACGGTGAAATTGCCTCTTTACTTCTTTCGTGTGGTGTAATTTCTGCTGGAACAAGACATTACAGTGAGACATAACAGAGAGAGACACTATAAAGTGAAAGTCAATGGCTGTATTCCATTTGACAGTGACGGTGTGCCAACTGTTGGGTTGGTGCAAAGCTGGCTTGGCTGGTTGCAGGGTCAGCAGGCTGAGCAAGGTATTCCAGACGTCCCTCTTCCCTGCAACGCTTTCCAGCTCCTCCTGGAGCACCACCAGGCATTCGCAGGCCAGACCAGATATGTAATCCCTCCGGCGTGTTATGGGTCTGCCAGTGGGACACACCAGGAACACCTCTAACGGGAGGTGCCCAGGAGGCATCCTGATCAGATGCCCAAACCACCTCAACTGACCCCTTTCAATGCAAAGCAGCAGTGACTCTACTCTTAGTTCCCTCCAGATGTCCAAGCTCCTTATCCTATCTTTAACATATCTATCTCTCTTATAATCAGGGTGGCACGGTCATGAAGTGGTTAGCATTGTTGCCTCACAGCAACTGAGTTCCTGGTTCGGTGGGGGAGCTCGAACCTCATGGTGGGGAAGCCCCTCTGGGCCCCTCTGTGTGGACTTGGAACGCATGTTCTTCCTGTGGGTTTTCTCTGGGTTCTCCGGGTTCCTCCCACAATCCAAAGACATTCAGGTTAACTGTTGACTCTAAACTGGTTGTAGGCTTCAGCACCCCTGCGACCCGTAACAGGATAGGCGGTTACGGAAAATGAATGAATGATTGAATATCTTGGAATCAGATTACAAGTAGCTGAGTTAGTTGGGTATGGTTGAGTTAATTAGTTGAGCCTGACAACTGCAGGAGTACCCCGTAAAGTATAAATACAACTGTTTGGAAATCCCAGGTATGCACTGTGTACTACTGTACATGCACATTGTCATGATACATTGATTTGATATTAAGGTAAGATTTATAAACTCTTACGGCTGTGATTAGCTCCTTGGTTTCCTTTGTATATTCCACTGTGAGACAATACTGTATATCAAGAGCACACTCAAAGATGAAATGGATTCAGTATGCATACAAACTTCTTTGAGTATACTTAATTTTGTCACACTGCATACTCAAAACCTGCTTAGAAACAGTGTGTAGGAATTGGGACACAGCTATAGCGTGATTTCATGGTGACTTATACACATTTCCTCCATCCAAAACAAGTTTCTGATGATCTCCTCTGCAGCCAACAGGGGGCAGTGTTGCTTAAGCAATGTGTCCAACTAGTTTTTCCTTTATGCATTCTGTTAAACTTCAGCATATTGTAAAGTTCTTGAGGGTAAGTGGGGATCAGTGTGGACAGGCACACACACACAAAAACAGACACTCACAAGCACATTTGGATACCACCAATAATGTATGGCACATCAGCCTTGCCCTTGTCAGAAAAATCATGGCTTATCTCATTCTGCAAATATCGCCTCCGCACAGAGAAGGAGGAAACAGAACTCCAGCTGTCATCTCTCCGCCAGCCCACCTGTCCAAACATCAAAACCCCCACAACGCCTTGTCATCAAAAGCCCGGGCTTCACCGGTCTCCGCTATAGGAGATAAAGCCTCTCTCATTATTCTGTCCGTGTTTGTATTTAGACAAGCAGATGACCACTTGCTCTGAGCCTGTTCAGCGTCTTAATAAAGGTGCTCGGGGGGGTTGAGCTTCCCTTTCAGACTGAACACCGGGCAGGTGGCCTTGTTCCTACCTGCCAGCACACTCGGGAAGATAGACACATGCAGGCATACACGCACGCACAGCCACAAAATGATACAAATGCACTAACACTTGCACAAATGCACACACAGACACAAACACACACACACACGCACAGAGCCTCTCCTTGTCGCCTGGTCAGACTAATGCCGCCGCTCTGCGTGCCAGTTGGCAGTCGTAACAGGCTGGGTACTTGTCTGGACACAAGCTTGAGGCAGGATTTCATTGGACGTAAGGGAAGACTGGGCAGCTTGCGGTCAACAGTGAATGGCTCTGCATATCAAATATTGCTTTCATCCGCTTCTCTGGCAACGGTTTAAGTTTCTCTTTTGCTAATGCTTAAACAACAGGGAGCCTCTAAGTTGGACCAGAGTCTTGCCTCACTCAGGCTGTAGATACACTGAAAAACATTGGCTATTCAGTGCTTTTTCCCTCGCAGTGAAATGTATTTGTTTTTGTTTATTATTATAAATTTTGGCAAAAACAGCTCTCCTTAAGATAAAACTAGCTACTGTTTTGGGACAGGAACAGGAGTGGAATATCTCTGGCAAGTCACGACACAGTATGATCAGCATGTGCTGCAAACTATAATGATGGACAATTCTGCAGTATACTACATACCTATGATGCATCACAGTATCTTTGTAACTAAGGAGGAAAAACAACCTCCAAAATTGGAAGATACATTTTCATAAAACCAATCAATTTCATACAGAATCTATTTACAATATTTAAAAGCTCTTCAAGTTATGTATTTCTGTGGTTTAGACTTTAACAGACCGAGGAGATCAAATAGTTGATGTCTGAATCATCTCAGCGTGAACTTTTCTCACGCACCAGGCTGTCTGCAGATATCGAAGAGCTTCATTTAATTGCTGTAATAAACACGCACAAAGACAATTAATACAGATAGACGGACCAATCATGCACAGGCACCTTGTTGTGCCACCCGTTGGTGCCGCTGTAGGATATTTTATTCTGCATATGTTAGACGTGAGCTCCCAAGAGGTGTTTGGATTACTCTCTGCAGGTAAGAATGAAGGGAGCAAAGTTTATCTTGAGCAGTGGTTCCCAACTGGACCAGCCATAGGGTCCAGATTTCTCCTTAGTCATTAGTTCAAGGTCCACACAGCTTTATACGTTAAACTTCATACTTGTGTTTGACCATCTTGTTGAGCTAGTTTGCCGTCTCTATCAAGTAGCTGTCTGTTAAGGTGTTTTCACATATAGTCCTTTTTAAACAAACCGAACTCAGTCGTCTGAAAGTGGACCAACAAAAAAGGGACTCCGTTCTTTTTGTGATGACATTGTCAGTTCATCTGAAAAAGGACTCCGTTGTCTTTATGGTCAGCTTCAGCTCTGACGGGGCCTCAGTCCTCTTCCTGTTCACCTATATGTATAATATATATAGACGTAGTTTTGGTTCTGCTTTGACGTGGCACTGCAGTGCAGTTACAGTTACAGATGAACTTCAAAGATTCTGTGTGCTTTAGACTATTGCTGTTTGATGTATTCTACATTCCACACTGAAGACGTGCAGTTTCTTCTGTGGACCAAACTACTCCTCGTCCTGCGTCCCTGTAAGTGTTGCAGGCCAGCATGGTTTCGTCTGTTTTTTCAGGCATCCCGGTACAACAACATGTGATCTAGAGGGCTACATACAATGGCAAAGAGAACCTGGAGAGCTTTGTGTTCACAAGGCACAGGTTAAGTGAACCGCACCGCGGACTTGAAGCGGACCAAACTCTGAGTATGGTTCGTTTCAGAGGGATCTAAGCTGTCTTGGAGAGTCACTGCTCTGAGTCCGCTTAGAGGGCTGAAAAGAACCAAGTGTGAAAACACCCCTAGTCACTCACTCTACAACAGGAAATGGCACTTCAAAATAAAAGGTCTGTGCCAGAGATTCACTGTACTAAAAAAATATAGTGTATTTTACAAATCGGACACGTTTGCCAGGCACTTGTGGTTCATTCTGAATTGACCTGCAACCCAATTTTGGACCACGACCCTCCAGTGGGGAACCACTAAATGGAAAGTTTAAATTTAGTACATGTGATTCATGATAAACATTGAGCTGGCTTTGGGTTCTGATTCTGCTGCTGGAGAAATTCACCTAAACCGGCCTCTGCAGTCAGCCTCAAGTGGCCGTTCAAAGAACTGCAGTTTTTGGCACTTCAGTGTTGGCTTCATTTGTCAGCCCCGGAGGTCGCTGCTATTCAAAGACGCAGCATGTGTCCCGACCCTTTCTAGTCTACAATAAATAACAGTACATCACTGCTTACTTTAAAACAGGAAAAGTGGTTTAGAAAGTGCAGGAATGAATAGACATCCATTACAATAAAATACAACCTTCATGTTTCTAGGCTACAATCAACTAATGTTTTTCAATACTAACCAGCCAACATCAGATAACAAGACTTAATAGTAGAACAGGGTTTCCAGTGTTGGTCTGTTGTGTGCCAATGTGCAAAATTAGACCCATTCACAGCATAAACACAGCCACATTTAATAGATGTTTCACTGATTGATGACTGCGCTTCACAAACATAGTTATTTACCGGGGTTGTGTGAGGTGATGACATCAGCGAGCTGCTGCTCGGGGACCGGCTCCTGCTTGCTGTTGTCTTCCTCCTGGAGTTTATCCACCATGGCGATTACACAGTTGAGACATTTGGCCACGTTGGCCCACACCCTGTCCTAAAAGAGCCGAACATACAATCAGCGGTCAGATCAGCCTCACTGATGAGATCTCTCCTTCTCACTCTGTTTGAGATTGTGAAATTAAGGGAAACTAAAACATATATAAAAAAAACCTGAAACTGTTAAAGCAGCTGAAATCATAAAAATAACTTCAATACGTCAAAAAAAAAAAAGAAAGTGTTTCCATTTACAATTTAAACTGGCTGTGTGTCCAAAAGGTCAAAAGGAAATTGCTGTCTGGCTATTCTGAGATTACTCTCAAAGTGTTTCAATTGTTTCCAGCTTTCTCTTGTTTGTCCTGAACTCCAACTGCTAACGGACGAATACATGCTTTCACTTTTCTGTGCGTGTGTGACAATCCAAATGTGTGTGTGTTGTAAGACGTGGTGTGTATTTTTGTGCTTCAAAAATATGGTTTGAACATCATATAACGGTGAGGAATATTTTGAGCGATAATTAGGCATTGGTGTGCAGAATTCATGACAAACTCCTGCTGTCAGTGAGGCAGATGCCGTCTTCACATGCAAACAAAGCATACACACTTCAGTGAAAACAAGCAGCATGACTTAAGATTCAGTGACAAGGATACAGCAAAATAATCTTCTGCAGTCAGTTTGTTATGATGAAATGTTGAAACTCCTTTGAAAACACTCTCTCATTAAAAAAAAAGAGTAATGTTAAGTATGAAATCCAACTGGGCAAGTAACTGAAATTAGTTACCATAATAGTGGTTTATTCGTAATACAGTAATAGTTTATCTCCCTGTGTGTGCTCCACCATGTTGGCCAGCGTCAATGAAAAAATGACAGGTTGTCAGCTTGTACTTAAAAATAAATAAAACTCTAACAAGTCACAACTTTAAAAGATTTCTTAATAACTTGGAAAAGTTGTCACATTTGAAAGCAGTGGCAGATTCATCTAGAATGTCAAAGAGAAGAAGGGTTTTTTTTGGGGGAGTTTTTCCTTATCCGCTGCGAGGGTCATAAGGACAGAGGGATGTTGTATGCTGTAAAGCCCTGTGAGGCAAATTGTGATTGAAAATATCTGGGCATCATCTATAGAAAACACTTACTTTACTTTTTCAATAACTCCTATACTACCACCGACAACTTTTTTTAAAACAATTTACTCAAAATTATCTGAATTCATATGGCAAGGTAAACCCGCAAGAATAAACAAATCAATTTTACAACTACAAAAAGAAAACGGAGGATTTAATTTACCAGATTCAGAAAAATACTACTTAGCATCACAAAGTTTCTATATATATCACATAGTGGCAAATTCTTCAGAACAACCTTGGAATCAAATAGAAAATGCACAGTTAACCCCCAGTAACTTATTTCTTAAATTATTTGCCAAAAATGAAAAAACTACTTGGAAAACCATAAAGGTCACCCTGAACGAACCCATTTTAATACCAACTAGTACCAAACTGTGGGATAACAAATTTTTAACTATTAATAATGAACCAATCAGATGGACAAAGTGGGAAGAGAATGGGATACGCTGTATCAAAGACCTCATGGGAGACAATAAAATATTAAAATTTGACCAACTAATAACCAAATATAATTTAACTAAGAAAGAATACTTCAAATACATTCAAATTACGCATTTCATTGATAAAACTTTTGATTTAAATAATTTAAATTTATGTAGTAGAACAGATAATATTTTATTCACTTCTGAAAGTTGCTCAAAACTTACCCATAAAATGTATAAACAATTACAAAAATCAAACAACTCAGAAATCATATTGAAGAAGATCATAAGTGCTTGGGAAAAGGATCTAGGTTAGTATCTGACAAACGAATGGCTCGAATCATGGAAAACTACACAAGACATAACAAATAACGAAAATCTACGCCTTATTTAATACAAAATCATGATGAGAGTATATTACACATGAGACAGAATAAATAAATTTAATAAAAAGATATCAAGTAACTGTATAAAATGTAAAATAAAGGAGGATTCCATATTTCATGCCTTTTGGGAATGCAATAAAATTAAACCCATATGGATAGAATTGAAACAATGGATTGATGATACATATAAGGTAAGTATAAACTTAACTCCATCACTTTGTCTAACAACTTGCACGGTGATCCCACACTGAGGTACCCCAAGAGCTGGATAGTTTTATTATCATCACTAGCATTAAAGAAACTCATACTGCACCACTGGAAAGACACAAAACCTCCCTCTATACACCATTGCAAACGCTACATGTTGCATATTCTAAAAATGGAGCAACAGGTGGCTAAAGATAAAAGGAAAGCACAACAATTTGATAATGTTTGGAATATAATGATTAATGCTCTTGTAAAGAAATAGGAATGTTTACTCATCTTGTCTGTCTTTTCTTTTCCCCTCTATTCAAGGTCAGTTAGGTGGAAAATGGACAATAAGACTCATCGATTTATTCCCACTGTAATGTGTGTGGCTGTGTGTGTGATTGTGTGTGTGTCTGGTGTCTGTGTGTCTGTGTGTGTGCCTTTGTGGGTCTATGTGTGTATGGATGGGTGAGTGTATGGATAGCTCGGTGTGTGATTGTGTATCTCTAAGTTTATGCTAGGATATGCATATGTATGTATATGTGTAATGTGTTTGTACTTTGTATTATATTGTCTCTGTTTTGTCTTCTAAGTGTGTTATGATTTTTCTCTTGTGATAAATGAAAAGCAATAAAAATAATTACACAAAAAAGAAAAAAACACAGCTTCAAATTTTACACAGCCCCATTGTACACCATTACTGAGGGGCAAGCTTGGTCTTAGCCAATGATACTCAACTTATTGCCCACAGGCCCCCAATGGGGTTCTGGGTGGCCGCCCAACTATTCACTAATTCACAATGAAAGCAAGTTGAATAAAAGCTGGGATTTTTTTGTACTATTAATATAAATGCAGTGCCATAGAAAGCATCAAAATACAACACGTTTATCAAAGACAGTGCCAGGAGAGGATCCCCAACAGAGTCCTCAACTCCTAGAAAAGCCCCTATGTACACCTGACCTGTGTGGAGCTTCTGCGTCTGGCCCCTGGCCTCCTGTCACTTTGCAAAATTGGCCCCCAAGCAAAGCAAGCTAAAGGCCCGAACATACTTGGGCGGAACGTACGTGAAACGGACTCCGCGGAGGTCCGCGCAGACTCAAAGCGGACGTCCGCAAGCCCTGTGCACGCAAAGCTCAGATTTTACGACCGCGCGGACTCCGCTCTGTGCACCAGCGACTGCTCGGCATGTATTTTTCACATCGCAGGGATTTTTCATGGACATTTTTACAGTAAACTACAATGCGGAAGTGCGCTCGACTATGGAAGCCCGAATGACTGTGGACATTCCTCGCGGAGTCCATTCCGTGTATGTTCCGCCCGAGTATGTTTGGGCCTTAAGTGTCCCTGGTCTCTTCAACGCATTAAACGTGATTCAGAAATTGGCACACATGAACATACGTTTTGGAAATGTGCAGATGCAGACATTTTTGGGAGAAGGGAAAGATGAAGTGGTTGCTTTAATAGGATATGATTTGGAGTTATTGCCTCTTCAGTATATTCTGGCAGCCAATACCGATGTGAATACTCATGTATATAGCAAAAAAGACTATTTTCACATTTTGGTTTTCTAAGGACGTCCTTGCGCTGGACGACTGGTAATAAGGAAGTACTGAAAATACTCCCTCTATAAGCTGACCTGCACCCTTCATGACAATGTGGAGGGATTTATTAAGATATGGCAACCAGTCTTGGACACAGTGAACCCCTCTGACCTGGACTTGGTTCTATCTGATTAATAACATTGGAACTGACTACAGCCTGGGTCTTCAACAGGGGCGCTGCCAAATTCTTGTTTGATAATTTTCTAATTAAAACATGTCTGAAAATACACATTAACACAAATCCAACATATTTTAAGCAAAGATAAATCGGCCTATTCATAAATAAACATTCATTTAGAGTACTTGGCACCAATGACCAACAACATCAAGGCTAAATGTTACTCATGAATCCTTGTGCAATCATGTTGGCTTCTAACGCTAAATCCCTGTGGGGCACTTATCCATTACAGCAAGGTGAACTAGTCATCTAATAGTTATCCATTTACGTACTATTGAAACATATTGGCCAGTTGGCTGTATAATTATTTCACGTGTGCATGCTTGTGGACCACAACGGGTGATTTAGTAACTCGTCTACCTCACAAACCAACTGCTAAAGTGCAGAGGGTGAGGCTAACGCAGGCTAACGCACGTGCTTCAACTGCTGCTGACTTAGCAACAGGCAAACACAAACAAGAGAAGACCAAAAAGTATTCAAGGCATTACCTAAAGTGCAATTTAATTATATATATGTAGTACATGGTCACCGCTCCATCTCTATTTGAGCTAAAGGGTCCTTGGCCTGAAAAACATTGCAGAGCCATGTACTACAGCATATCCTTGTCATCTGAGTGTAATTATTTTGCCTGGTGGTGTGTGTTTTTTTTGTATTATGTGTGTAAAGTTCTGACTCCTGCTGTTTTTTTGTCTTAAAAACGTTCTGTATATATTCAGAACAGAGTGAGAGAACAGAGTATATGTAATTGTGGCCAGCATTAAAAAAAAAAAATTAAAAAAAAATAAAACATTAGCAGTCACACTTACCCATTCCTCCTCGTCGTACTCTTTATGGTGTGGTATGGAGTCTTGGTGCTTTAATGGCCCACCTTCTCCTCTAGTCGTGGTCTGAGATCCTTCCACGTTATTACACACAGGTGTGTTGTCAGTGATCGACGTGGTTGGACTGTGGCCTGGAAGTCCCTGGATTGGGCTCTGGTTCTGGTCCTGTTGGATGTGGCCTTGGTGTTGGCCTCCTTGCACCACGTTTTGCTTCTGGTTCTTGGAAACGTATCCGGGTCGTGCTGCATGCAGTGCCAAGAGCGCACTTTTGACCAATTCATCCTTAAGTGTGTGAACAAATTGTTCTGTCTGCAGCAAAAAGAGAGAGAAAAAAGACACATACCGAAAGTTATTGTGGGGAGGCACAACAAATTAAAACTTAAGCGCTGAAAAAGCAAAAGAGACAGAGTAGGAGAGGGATAGAGAGAGACTGTCACACCAGCGGGGTGAGTGGGTGGAAGAAAATACAGGTGGAAGTGAGCTTGGAAGTGGGTAACTATTTACAGAGGAAGTGAAGAGAAACAAAGAAAATGAACACTCTCCTTCACCATATAGTAGCTGCTCTCCATTACTGCAGCACAGCCAGTGAGCAACGAAAACAGCAACAAACAACAAACAGTTCAATTACTCCTCCTCCAGCCTGCTTCTCAGAGGAGCACACCTCCTTTGATCTCAAATTCACCAGCTACTGTAAGTTGATGATGATCCCGGCACCACGGAGCCTCATGCTCGCTGTCACCACTGAGTAAAAAATGATAAGGGCTCTCAAGAGTAATTGAGTTAGCCCCGCAATAAGCAATTTTATTACCACAGCAAAATGCAGTCGAACAAAACATGAGCCGTGCCCTCCATGAAAAGAAACCTGTGAGATCATTATATACATACAGTGTATTTGCCACACAAACATTCTTTTCCTGTGCCCTGCCTCCCTGAAGTGGACTGAACAGTGAGCTTGTTGAGACTGCTCGGAGTTGAGGAGACAGCTTAGTCAGCAAAGAAGTAGATGAGTGTGGAAAAGAACCTCAGGCCAGAGCAGCCTGTTCCAGCACTGGCTTTGTGTGAACGTCATAAGGAAGTGATTCTGAACTTTTTTGGCTTGTGACCCCTTTAAAATGAAGCAATGTCAACTTTTGAGCCCTTTTTAACAGGCTGCGTGAGTACATGACCTGTCAGCAGTTTAATAAAGGAGTGATTGTGACATCTGCCTAATTTATCCATTACTCATCCAACCATCCAGTATAACATAAGAAAAAGGCATAAAGTAAAGAAGGTCAGAATAAGAAAGATAATTTTTTCTCATATAATCATATCTGGTAGCCCTTTGGTGGGTTGAGCCCCTCTTGATGGGAGCTACTATCAAAAGGTTTTGTGTCATTGAAGGTCGGCAGCGCACTCTGTTGAAGTGAGGCTTTGACAGTTCAACAAGAAAGATCTCTTCTCTCACATTTAGCATTTATTCCACTACAGGTGACTTCCTGATATTTCTTGCTGCTCTAATCTTCAATGTCTCTTATATTCACAAATCTGACATTACCATGTTTGACCAATGATCTCTCTGCCTCTTAAGCCAATCAGTTGGCATCATATTGAGATGAAAAATACGATTTGCTTTGATCAAACTGTTCAGATCAAAGATCTGAAGCTAAGCGATCACATCAGACAGTGCTGATTCTGAATTTTCTGTCTTCACTTCAGTTGTAGGTTCAGTTTGTTGCTCAGTTCGGTACAAAACTAGGACTCCAAAAGAGCTGCTTTATAAGGTCAACACCTCAGCATATATATGTTTTGGTGGCTTTTGCCATGTTTTACAGTAACTCATGCCACATGTCCACTGCATGGTGCAGCACAGCCCTACTGACTTGCTCTCTTTTGGTTTTCAATTGGCAAAAGCTGCGGATAGTCCCTGGTACTTTTTTTTGGTACCACCTTGGTTGAGGTTCCAAGCAAGCTGAACTGCTACTAGAAGGTGGAGTTAAACAACCCAATCACCAGAAAAATTATTAGCATAGTACATTTTTGCAAACCATGGATACGTTACATTTGTGCATATTATAGAGCGTTGTTGAAACCTTACATTTCTTTATGTTTCAACAAAGCTGTAGTTGACGTGGTTGGGTTAAGGCACAAAAAACACTTAGTTATGGTTCGGAAAAGATCATGTTTTGGCTTAAAATACCTGCTTTTAATAGCATGGTTTTGTTATTTGTTGGCCTTTCATGGTGGTCTACAATGCCAACATACTCTTCAGGTGACTGGGCTGAGTTCAAACACCACTGACTGGTCAGAGGGAGCCATCACTAGACTCGTTACTTGCGTGTCATGGATCATCTTGCACAAACCCACCATTTTTAAACAGCTAAGCTACCATCAAAAGTGACTACAATTTTTTATTCACTCAAAACTACACCATATACTACGCTGTACACTAATAATGATAATAATACATTATACATATATAGAGCTTTTCAGGGCACTCAAAATGGCTTTACAAAATTAACGGACAAAACAAAAACAACAGACATGCAAGACAACAAGTAATGGATGAGGAGAAGAAACTGTCAGTGATTGAAAGCAGCGCCAAACAGGTGAGTCTTGAGCGATTTTTTGAATATGGAGAGAGATGGGGAGTCTTGATTGGGGTTTGGGGAGTGAGTTCCAGAGGGTGGGAGCAGCGATGGAGAAGGCCCTGTCCTCCCAGGATTTGTGCTTGGTCCGGGTGGGGTGGGGCAGGAGGTTGGCATTGGCAGAGTAGAGTGTGCGGGTGGGAGTGTAATGATGGAGGAGCTCAGACAGGTATATACTATGTACACTACGCCATACACTATGTTGTACAATCGATGAAGTGCAGACATCGTTGCTGATTAAAGGATCTAGCGAGTGTCACACTGAAGATGATGTAATGGCACTTAAATGCAGCATCACCAAGCCAATCAGTGGAATATCCTGCCCACACTGCGGGGGTACTATTTGCTGTGGAGAACCAAATACAGAAAGACCTGGGAGCAAAAGTGGCTCGAGTCAAGTCGACAGAAATGAGGCAGAAAAAGAAGCCCTCAATCAGTATTAATGATGATCAGATCTAGTCATTTGTTTGTACATGTAATGAACACCAGTATCATCACCAGCTTACAGGCATAACTCCACTACGACCAGCGTCTGCACTCTGGGGGTCATGATCAATCTCCTATCTTCATATTGTCCTTTATGTTTCAATAAGAAGTCTATTGTCATACTCCAGTTGATCTCTTCCTTATTAAACTGCAGCTCCCAACACTGACTTGTTACTTTGACAACTTTTCACAAATCTGACTCATTATAGCTTTAACTGGGAAGAAACTGCTTAAGAGCGTATCTTTCACACTGCTCCTCTCATGATGCAGCTACAGTCTGTTTCAGTCATTAAAAAAGCAACACATTACTGGCCCATCTGAGTCTGGTGTAACTGTTCAGCTCTTGATTTAAAAAATATAAAGGCTGTTATCCACATAGAGAGGGCCATGTGATGAATGTTTGAGCAGGGAAAGCAAATGATGACAACACTTAAAACACCATTGTATTTAATTCATATCCATTTTAATTGACTTGCATGGATCCAAATGAGTTCCATTACTGCAAGTCAATGATGTGAAAGCTGAAATCTATGGATAAGACGGCGTGTGCAATTGCCTGAGAACAAGCACTTCTGCTTGAATAGTATTCTGTGACACAACTGTAAACAAGGAAGCATCATTTTAAAGATAAAAAACATCCAAATGACTTCAAAAATGAGCCACGATGGATTCTGCAACCAAAACACTTAACAGGAACTGGGAATTCAAAATGTAAATTCATATTCAAATTGAACTCTGCTTATCTGACCTCAATGTTAATTTGCAATCTATGAAACCATGTATTATTCATTATCTTTCCTGAGATGAGTGAACAAAGCCACACACGGTATTTAAAACAATCTGGATCTTATTTGCACTTCTTAACCACAGGGTCACAGCAGTCATGTATTTGACTAACTTATTTTTCTTATTAATGCAGCCATGCATCATTGTTGTGGATAAAAGGGAATTGATTACACTGCAACCGGCCAATCATTCAATCCTACTTCTAAATATTCAGCCAGCACCAAGGCTTGGATCTACAGCGGAGTGCAGAAAACATTTTAATGATACACTGTACTGCAGGATCCATATAGATACTGTGTTCAAAGTGAAATATCAGAGGTGCACTCCTTTGGGCAAAGGAGGAAAGCATTGCAGCGTCATTCTCTTACCAAGGCTAAACCAAAGCAACTTTGCTCCTCCACGCGCAGAAGCTAGCTCTTCCACACCTACCTGTTTTAGAGATCTGAAATGCTCAAAATCCCTTGGGAGGAATTCTGTTGCTAGTCTTTCTTCAATATATCTGCTGATATGATCCTGACTGAGCAGAAGTGCAAGTCAGAAAGTGCCTCTGTGGACTCCTACTGCGAAAAAGTAAGTTACGTTTGATCTAAAAAAGAAGAAAACTGTAGGAATCTATTCACCCCGAATGGTTTCGAATGGTTTTACCCTGAAGGATGAGGCTGAGTTAAAAATAGAGCTTTTTCACTCAGAGTAACTTCACTTGAGAAGTGAAGGGAGGCTGAATGGATAGAGCTGGTCAGATTCCAACAGCACTTGGCTGTGAGGACACTTGCTCACTATTGCGTACATGACCTCTATACACCATATAATCTAACATAATCATGCATAGACGATCAAACCATAGCCTTTTCCAGGTAACCCTTACACCAGAGACATATAGCTTTTCCCAGGACACAGCTGGAGGGAGGGGAGATGCGTTGCAATTGCCTTTTCACTGTGATTATCATCAGAGTGAAATTATTATTATCATCATCCACACAATCATCACCATATATAGAGGAGCAACAGCGCATCTGCCGTGCCATGGCCAACTTTAATCAGAATGTGCCCAGGAAAAGTGTTCTGGAGTGAAATATCACATTAGGCCTCCAGTCAGGTGGTCTGAACCAAGAAGGGAGAAGTCAGAGGCAGCGAGTACTTGATAAAAAAGGTTCTTACATCACCCTGATTTTCTCTGGAGGTGTCTCATCTTTCCCAGATTCTCTGAACGTGTGACTCACTGTCTTCACTGAAGAGACTTCACACACACCGCAGTGACGCACTCTAAGATGCATCCACCTTTACTTATGTGTCTGTGGGAAGGATGTCAAATATCTGTCTGTGTGAGTATGATATTTTTGGGGGAGTTATTTTCATTATTAATTAATCTGACAGTTACTTTGTTGATTAATCAGCTAATGGTTTTGTCAATAAAATGTCACAAAATGGTGAAAAATGTCCATTATCATTCCACACAGCCAAAGCTGACATATTCAAATAGTTGATTCATATCTGTACAATGTACTGTGAAATATGATCAATTAAAAAAAAAAAAGCTAATTTTATTTAACCAACAGCCTAAAACTGTCTAGAGACAGCCAGTTTACTATCATAAATAAAGACTAACAAAGGGACCAAGGAATGTTTGGCTCATTTGTTTGAAAATGATTTAAACGATAAACCAATCATCAAAATTGTTGCAGATGGATTTTCCATCGACCAACTAATCAATTGATTGCCTAATATTTGCAGCTCTTCTGTTGTACAGAATCTTAAAAGAATAGTTTATTTACTTTCTTGCCAAGAGTTCAATGTGAAGACTGACCAAGCTTTAGAGGTGTTGGTACGCAGATTTTGTTACCTTTGGAGTAGCTGGTTCCCCGTTTCCTGTCGTTATGCTACGCTAAGCTAAACAGCTGCTGGCTGTAGCCTTGTATTTATTAGACAGATACAAGAGTGGTTTTGATTTTCTCATCTAATGCCGGCCTCACACCAAACAAGCAATCTTACTGTCAATGATGTCATGTCATGAGAGTTTTGCTAGAAGTGTGACACGCCCTGTGATCTTGATCGCTTGGTGTAAGGCTGTCATAAAACTCAGTCCGAGTTGTCTTAAGTCAGTCTTTTTCTCGTCTTGACGTTCTGAGTAAAAGTTTCTTTATTCTTCTGCATACACTCGACGCAACATGCACGCAGTTGCTCCGCAGTTGCTGTGTGCCCATCATAGTTCTGCGTCCTGTTGGTCTATGTCGCTATGCCAAAGCGCTTGGGGGCGCGGTTCTCTTAAATACCTACCTAGACTCTGTGACCTCTATGGTTGTTCCTTGTTCATTGTCTGTTTATCTTCCGGCTTTGCTCTAGTCACAGTGAAGATGGCGACCGAGAGAGAAAGACGGTTGCTGGAGCTCGAAATGATCGACATTGAACAACAAATGCTCTTATTACAAATGTTACGACAACGACGAAAGGAGTCGCGACTGCACCGATGGTCTGTAAGCCCGTTGAATGGCTCGACTTTTGAAAATGGCGGTGTTGTGTGGTACTGCAGCAGGAAGTGAAACCTTGTGAAATGCTGGAAATGATGTAGTTTGAAGGACCATTCATAGCTCTTGCGGTCTGCGTTGGGTCTGTGTTGCCTCGACGCGTGGTTACAATTTTTGGCAGGTGCACGCCGTGTCTCTGCGTCGGTCGCAGATGGACGCAACGCCTCCGCAAAGCCCTCTGCATCGTAGGTTTGCAGAAGCACAGACCTGGCTTAAGTCAAACATATTTAATATTATTGGTATAACAGTCTTGGTTCTCTTATACTGTGGAAAAGGAAGAGAAACTGGTAGAGCTGTGGAGTGAACAAGAGCCTGTGTTTATTTCGGCGTGGACCTGATCCATTAACCAGCACTTATTTTAGTGAGAAATCTTAATGTTTGAAATGCTTCTCATTCCTACGGTCTTCTCCAACTAAAATACTATCACTAACCAACAGAGGCTGGGAGCAAGTTGAGGTGATGAAATCTAAAAGTTTGCATGCCAATACAGGTTATTAAATTGATGCAGAATTAACAAGAATACTGTTGACACATGACGCCTTTTGTCTCTTGCTTTTCTAGAATTATGTTTTTATGCATACATGTAAGGAATTGTTAATATGTCATATTTCTTAAAGGGAGTTTGGTTTAATATCTTCCACCAGAAGCAGCATGGGAAATAATCTCAAAAGGAATCTAGTTGTAGTTCCCTCGTCTAAAACCTTCTATTATAGTGTGACTAAAAATTCACATAGCCTTTAGATGTTGGAGAGCGTCAGATGTTAGTATTTTGAAGGTCTTTTCAGAATCTTCTTGTGTATAGTAGGCATTTAAGTGAGAAAGCAAATAAGCACATTCCCCAGATTGTCGAACTATTACTTAAAGTCTTTGGTGGGGAAGTTTGTGGTTTAGTCAATATGAATAAAACAGATTAGACTTAACTCGTGTGCACAGGTGTGTACATGCATGAGCAGGCAAGTATGAGTCTGTGTGTTTGTACGAAAGACATAGGTATTTATGTGTGTCTTTAAAAAAACAACAGATTTTCTTGATAGATGACCAGATGTGGAGGAGGAAATACTGATATAAAACGTGTGATGTTCATGATTGCAGTCTTTGGGGCTTGAAGACAGTGATGTCACTTGAACATCAGGTTTCGAACACACACAGAAACACACAGTTTCACACCTCCGACGCCGTCAAGCACACACACACACATACACACACAAACACAGCTTGAGATTTTAATCAGAGAGCAGCCCTGCTTGTGCTGACCAGGCCAGGGGTTTACTTGGCCGATGTGAGCGTGTCTAATCAAGGATGAGAGGAAGTGGTGACAGAGCGAATGTACCAATTAAGCAGGCTGATTGGGCTCTATTCCACTGTGGCAAAAACAATCTCTCCCACAACAGATTGCAATCTGACAGCACCAGATGTAATTCATTAATTATACTGATAAAAACGCCTCAACTCCATAAACCTCCATGCTGCTATTCACTTTTGTTAGTTTGGCGTTTTTATGATGAGTTATGGATTTTTCCTGAGGTTGTCTGTTTAGTGTGTGCATGTGTGTGAATCAACTGCTGGATTTAAAGTCATTTTCATCATTTGTAAATTTCACTGTTTTGTTCGCAATACAACAAGCAAAGTAATATTACGAGAGCTGGTACAAAGTCTCGCTTGTAGGATAACTCCTCTGAGGGGGTAAACATTTAGAGTGTAGCAGTCGATTCAGACCTATACATCCACCTGAATAGTCCTCCGATTGCAACTCTACCAGGAAAACTATTGGATATAGGCTTAGAAGCAGAGCCCCGAGCAAATAATGAAGTTGTTTTTGGATGAGTTTGGGTTTAAATGAACTTATCGCCACAGCTAAAGATTAATTTAAGAGGCTTTTCAGGCTGAGGTATTACCTGACAATGTTTGGTGATGTGTCCAAGAATAAAAGGCTTGGTTGCAGCAGCTCGAGGCCGAGAGGAATAAAGGGAAAGTATAGATGGAAGTGTGGAGGGTTTGGGGGCTGCCTCACCTTGTCAGAAAGGTTCTTGAGTGCATCCCTCAGTCCAGGGGAAGAGTGCTCCTGGGCAGCCTGGAGGAGCTGGTCCGCTAAGCTCGTGATGAGAGGTTGGAGGAGGCTCATGGTGCTGAGTACCTCCTGAGCTTTGGCTGTGTGCTCTGGGGAGTAGTAGATACACTGGTAGGCAGTGCTGAAGCTGTGGTGGAGGAAAAAAAACACATCAATTCAGATTTGACATTCGCTGCAGTCGCACGGCCGTGAACTGGATATAGGAAATACATATGAAAGTGGCCCAAATCTGATTCAAAAAGAACTGGGGCACACTTGCTTGTGATGAGATTGTAGACATACAGTACTGGGCAGAAGCTCGTCCCACGTTTGTTTAGATAAGTGCTGCTGGTTTTTATAGTGTCCACTTGCCACCGGCGTTTGCCAAAACTAGCAGAGTAGGAAGAGACAGTATTTGATATCAAACAAGCTCCAAGCTGCCCCGCAGCATTCATTGGTTGACCTGCTCCGTCTGGCTGCAAGATCAACATTGATACAAAAAATCCAAACATACACAACTGATCAGGAACAGATTCTCCGTTCTTTTTTTTTTTCCTCCAAGGTGCAATTAAATAAACGTTGAAGCTTTTCTACACTGATATGTTTTGTGGTTAGACCATCTCTAAGAAAAGACCGTTTTGAAATAATAGCACTGCTGGTGTTGAAAACATTAAATCTATTTTATTATTAGAAAATGATTTATCTGGATGTTTGTTGTGGAGTGTGTTGCTTGGTGCACTTAGCTGTAGCAGCTCTAAACTCCACTGACCTACACCTACGTCAAGCCTGATCGCCCTGCTGTGAATAACAAGCACAGCCTTCTTTTACAGCTGGCAATTGCATCTAATTGTATTTACCTTGCATCACAGGTTTAAATTAGTCCCTGACTATGAAGATAAAATTAAATAGTTTGGCTCTGGAGCTTGAGGAAGTATAAGTGCAGGTTTAACGCTCACTGTTACCTTACAACAGTAGATACATTTCAAAACAACTCCTTTTAATCTGATTAAAACAGTGAGTGCTTGATTGTCACTTTATAATGTCAAACGTTTATTCTTTGTGTCGAGGTCAAGTAACGATAAACAGACAACCAGCTGGTTTTCACTGACTATAAACATAATCTAACGGCACACTAATTTTCTGAGCTCATTTCATTGCGTGTCCACTCTCGCTGCCAGGAAAATGCACAGCAACGCTTTCCAGGCACTTGGCCTGAACTGTCAAATTGGACCTGCAGTCCAATGTCAACCCATTTTCGCTTTATGAATAATTAATCCCTTCTTCATTTCTAGGGAGCTATTTAATCTCAGACAAAAACACCTTTTGTCAGATCCTAGATTCAGGGCAAATCACTCCAATCAAACATTCTCCTCGGGTAAAGTTCCAGTGACTTTCAATGAGTTTCCACTGACTTCCTGCCATCAGATATAGCGTGGAGCGAGGCAGTCATTTGCAACCCTCCCAGCTAGTTTAGAGTCAGCTCTGCAAGCCTCTATGTAGGCCAGACCCCAGAGCCAGATCCTAAGGCATAATTGACATAAGAGAGTGAGGGAGAGAGATAGAGCGCGCGAGGAAGGGAGGGGCACATATAAAGGACTGGCATAATACAGTATTCTCTGCAGCACTCCTAATATTTTCAGCGAGGGAAAGAGTGCTTCTTTAGAAGTCGCCCTGTGTGGAACAGCACTACCTGATCTATCAATAAGCGCGAAAATCTGAAGGCCTTAAGAAATTAGGCGTAGTAGGTACGAGCAACTAACTATGTCTTTGACTGGCTAACTTTAAAAACTTGGCCTTGTCATTACAGCTAATGAGCTCCCTGGAGGACTACCACCCACAAGCTCAAGGCTAATCAAAGGAATCACTAAGTGAGAGAGAGACACACGGGGCAAACAGTGTGAAATACTCAACCATACAGAACACCACCTTGCACACTTCTGTTATCCCCACTTCCATAACCATACCATCAAATGCTAAGGTTTCAGCCACAGTGAAGAGCATAATTGAATAATGTACTGCAACAAAGTAAAGTCTGCAGACCCCTTTCATCCCTGGTGAGCTTACATTCGTCTTATTACATTATGCAGAACTAAAGAGAAAAAAAATCCTGAAAGACTGCAACAATACAGATACTCCAGGAAAGAAGCAAAGGAGAAAGTTGCTGGAAGAGGACAATTGCTTCAGCGACTGAGATTCAATAAGAGCCCTGTTGACTCATAAGTACAAATCCAATCCCATTAGGAAGCCTATGCAGGCAATAATGAATGTTGGGACCTGCCACCTGATGCTAGACGACAGAATTGATCCCCTCTAAGGCTGGCTAAGGCAAGGAACTTTAATTGCCTCATCAGCATTGCTGTCAGTCCAAATGGGTCTACCAAGACAGCAAACCATGAAAAGGTAAAACAGCATAAATCTGTGAATGCAAACTTGATGAGAGGCCAAAGGGGATGCTGCACACGAGGACCTGATTGTCATTTCAAGCCTCAGGTTTGTTTTCCATCCCTGATTTGGGAGTGCTGTGTGCCAAGTATTTAAAACATGCTGCCAATAAAACAGAAGGTGGACATAAAAATGCACAATATCATCCAATACGACAGCCCTGCAAAAATATACTACCTTTGTGGATCTGATAATAGTTATCCTTTGTAATGTAATGTCTGAGGCCACACTCTGCAGTGTCATTAGAGTGCAAGATATCCTCCCACCTAATCTAGGTCTTAGGTTAGTGCGACTTAGCCTCGAGCTGACTCAGAGCACACCTGAACTCATGAAAGGCCTCCCTCTTCACAATTCCTTTACCTTTGTTTAAAGGAGCTCCCAGAAGAACTTGTTATTTACGTTTGTTTGATGGTAGAGCTATTTCATGCTGAAATCTGGATGCATCTCATTTACGTTAAACATGTGGTTCTAATGCAGTCACCATTTGATCAGACCATTTGGAGCGTTTGATATCCATAGTGTTCTTTTGCCTTGAGGCGGGATATTATCTGTGATGATCACAAAGAAAGTGGAAAATCCTTTGAAAGTGAAATAAAAGGTTGTTTGTACTTGGAGTATAAGTTTGCAGATGCTTTATAACGGCAATAGCATAGCATGTATGAACGTTCATTGATATTCATAATGTCAATGTGAGCAATTTGTCCAGCAACTATGCAAGCTTTAAAGTCTGTATGCTATTTATGAATATTTATGTGAGAGTCTACAGACCTAAGAGACTCGTTAAACTTCCATACATGCAGTATGGAGCGTTTCAAATAAACTGGGTTTCTTGTTTTTACCCCCCAAAGGGACAAACTAAGGACTAACACTTTGATCTGGAGGGTTGTGTTTAAACATAATGATGCACAAGTTCAATTTTACCAAGCCACAATGTGAAATAAAGATCAATGAAACTCAGGCTTCTTGTATGTTAGAGAATCCCTACATGTGTGCAGACCTGCAGCATCATAAGCAGAGCTTTAAAATTGTATGCCAGTTAAATCCTCTCGAATCGAAGCTACAATGGATGAGAGAGGCTTATTTTTGCAGACTGTGCAAAACAGCATTAGTACACATAAATTATATATTAGGACTTGTTATGCTAATAGTGACCTGCATATTCATCTACAGCCACCTGCCTGCTCAAACAGCACTTTTGTCACACACACACACACACACACACACACACACCCCATTCATTCATATTTTGACCTGCAGACACATCTAGATAAAAAAGTCCTAATCAAATTATGGCACAATTTCCAGGATTTAAAGTCAAATTTTAAATAAGGTTTTTATAAGCATCTCTCAACTACACCAGCTTGCATGTATGAAGGCCTTCGCTTTTAGCTGATTAACTCCCTTTAAAACCATCTGAAGGTGGCAGGTTTGTTTTCATCTGAAGTCCTTAATTTGTGAGACACATTTTGTCAAACTTCAATTACATGTGCCACATCTACACAGCTTCCCAGTGCGGTGCACATGTGGCTGTGATGAACGGACTGATGTTCAGCTGTAGATAAGAATCATGACTCATTGTATCACTGTGCTGGTTTAGTGGTGTTACCGTAAAAAAATAGTTTGTTATTAGACTCATCTATTACAGTAAGTATGCTGGACTGAAACTGCAATTGTCCGCATCCTGTGAGAGAATATTAGCTTCCTCTTGGCTGAAGCTCCTCCAGACTCCATTACATGACATCCGCACATCATTGAGGGGAGAGCTATGCTTTTATAAAGAATTGCTGCCAGACCCCGACACACTCACTTATAATGTATGATAATGGATTTTTCTTAATCCCACCTCATTTCCATGTGCACCCTGGGTGCGCCACGCGCCTCCAGCCATGAAAATACTGAAGGTGTGCTGCCACTCCCTCTGCACAATGCATGGTGCACTTGACTGCGCTTTCAACCTGTACTTTGATTCAAGAAATTATCGCCCTTGGTCTTTTAAAAATTAAAAAAAAAAACAGCACTGGATTTCCAGGAAACAGCAGTCATCCATAAGCTCATACATCGTTGGCGCAACACTTTATCAGGTAAACTCAACTCTAAGAGGGGACTCTACTAACAGATTACTAAAACTAGTGTGTCCAGGATGAACTTCCTCCTTGGTTTTCCTAAATGATCAATGGGAATTGGTTATAACAGTAATGAGAGGGAGAAAACCGCTGGGCCCAGCGGCCTAATTAAGCCAGCATCTCCAGCGCATGGCTAATTAATAGTGGAGAGGAAATTAATGAAGAGCTTGTGGCCTGCTGCTGACAGCCAGCAGGAGTAAAATGCAGCTACGTCAGCAGAGAGCCCTGCAGCACTCCAGGTGACTGCCAAAGCCTCCTTCGTCATTTAGACAGCGAGCTGTAATCATGGTTCTTACACCAGGCTACCGCCCCACAGCCAAAGTAAAAATATACAGTCTTCTATAAATACATGCTGAAAGATCTGATCTAAAAGCAGCTTCTTTTAAATGCCAAACTCCATCTGTTGTTGAATCCTCCACTGGGCACTGATCTCACATCAGTTCTCAGAGTGACAGCCATAGCTTCCCTCAGTTCAGACACAAACTAGAAACCCTGATCTGAGACCAGATAAGCCTCAAAGGTACTGCCAGCACCATCGCCCACAGAACCTTGAGCAGGCTAACTCCAGAACAGGCAAAAAACTTACAAGCTGCTGTCCATCAGCATGGAGTCCCAGCCACTGCCAATGTCCTGTCTGTGAAACACACACACACAGTAATCCTGGGAGGAAGTTATTTTGTTGGACAACATGCTGCTAGTCACATTAAATCTGAACATTGGCCCCAAGAGACGGTGCGATGTAGTTTCAACCACTTGCTGTGTCCCAGAAATGTGTCATTCGACAGTTCTGCTCGACCAGGAGGCCTGGTAAAATGACAGTGCTTCCTTCCTCTCTGCTACAGTGGACAGAATTCAAAGACACATGTAGAGAGGAGCTCCTCTGCACCAAGTAAGTGCAGCTGACCTTACAAACAAGAGCCTGACAGGCATTATACTTCCATACCTAAGCAATAAAAACACACACACACACACACACACACACACACCAACAATACAGGTAGGAAAAAAATTGGCAGGTTCAGGTTTCACAAAACACGGCACCAGAAAAGTGTGTTGCATCGTTATGCAGATTAGCTGAATAATTCAAAAGAGGCTGTTAATGAAAGATTAGACCACCTCAGCAAATCCACAGCGTTGTCTATGGGGTTCAATTAAAAACGGATAAAAATCCAGCGACTTTTAAAACAGCCATTTAAGTGGGACTGCATGCATTAATGAAAGATAAATGCTCTTGCCCTGTGTGTACATGTGCAAGGTTTCTAGAGGAATACTAAGTGTAGTTATTGATTAAACTCTTTCCTGGCCCATCCTGAGAGACAAACTACATTGCATACTCTGGTCATTGCCAAGTTAGGCCAATGCAGGTTTTTAATGGATCTGGAAAGAACCCCCCTTCCTCTCTTCCAGTGTCCAGGGAACAAAGACAAATAGCTCTTTTATTGCCCTTCTGGTAACACCTCTGTGCTCAGGTTTTCCTTTTTTTACCCTCCCTCAATCCTTTTCCTCTTCTCTTTGATGAATTAATATCACATTGAATAGCCAAGTCTCACATCTTGCCGATTGTTCCCTTTTTAATCAAATGTGATTACAAAGGGCTGCTTCTGAAAGGCGAGGAGACACACTGGGAGAAGTATGATGAGTGTCTGCGTGTGCACACACACAAGTATCGTTGCCACTCAGATAGGCTGACTTTCCGTGCAATTAAGTGACTCTTAACCGGACCTGCGCACATGACCGCAGTACTTCACATTCACAAACACACGCGACTGGAAAAAATAAAAAACCCTCATTGGGTCCTTATAGGCTAAATGTTTGGTCAGACATTTAGTGCATGCATAATAAAAGCAAATTAAACCATGAAATAATGAATGTTCCTCATTCAAACTAAACACGCACCTTCATTACAATGGCAACGGCGAGCGCTCTGCAAAATCACAGAGAAACTGAGTTTATTCCTATTTCTGACGATGACTGACAAATGACTGCATTCCAGGTCAAACACGGATAAGGCTCAGCGCAGGCCGCAGTCAGTTAGCCAGGCGGAAAATTGGAAAATTTAAGCTACAGTGAGTCATTAGCTAAGTCAAATATGAAACAAAAAGCTCTGTCTCCCTGGAGAATTCTTTCTGAAGTCTAATCTCTCGTTCAAAGAAAATGATTTCACTTCAGTGGATTCTCAAAAAATATGCTACCCTTATCATAGTTCATGCTAGCAGATAAAACTGACCATCTTCAGCAAATTCGCGTGTGCACTTTAGCGTAAAGAAGTCCTTTCTTTAGTTTTTATCATCAGCACAGGCCCCCAACTATTTTCCCATCAACTTATCCATTTCATACCCACACCTCAGCCCTCTCCATCTTGCCTCTCTTCCCCTCTTTCTTGAGCTGCAAACTCTGTAACTAATTGGATCTGGCATGGTCTGTAATGACTTTGCGCTCTATGGGGAGCTTTGGGAAAAATCACCCTTCATTTCTTCTGGCATCACTCAAGTGACCACATACTGAACTCCAGTGACATACACCTCCATCCTGCATCTAAAGGGCAAAGACAGCAAAATTTACAGGATACTGCTGATCTCAGGATCGAAGAAGTCATGGACATATTCCCCTGTAGTGCACTTTCACTCTGTGTATGTGCGTATACATTTTCTAGGTGTACCTGCGTATTTATAACACAGTCATAGTAGTGTGGTCTCATTTAATTCAGTCAACCTTGAGTGTTTGTGGAGCCGGCTTCAGTCAGTCAAGGAGACACACAAGACATATTTTCCCCATCAAGCAATCAAGCAGAGAGCTGGTACACAGCCACAGACCGAACGCAATCTAACACAAGACTCAATCTGGGAGAACAACTCACAAAAAGCTCTGGTTTGAGCAATGCCTGTATTTTGCTCAGTCTTCTCGGTACATTACTCATAAAAAATGTATGTTTTGTCAGGCAAAGGACTCCATCTTTGTAAAATATTAGCAGTATGTAGTAATGATTGATTGTTGCATTGCTTATTGTACACTCATCAAGCAGTCACTGACTGTGTTTCAACGTATGGTCTGTATAATATAACAGTTCCTATATCTAACAAATTAGTGCCCCAAGACTAGCATCATCATTTTATGTGTGCTTAATGCAAAGTCACAGGTTAGATTTATGCTAGCTAAGTTACGCAGGTTAGGTTTAGGAACACAAAACATGGTGCAACATGCCTTAAAATAACTCAGTAGTTCACTTGCCACGTTCAACTTATAGTGGATTTGTCAGACTTGTTTTTTGACACATACACCTCCCCAGTCTACCTCTTAATGCAGATGTTGGCTCTTTATGCTACTTCCTTCTTTACTCTTGTCGGCACATTGGTCAGGAGACTGCAACACTCCTGATTACGTGGGTTATGTACGAATTCTAGTGTATTACTTTTCGCAGGTATATGAGTACAGCCTGCTACGTGTCCATGAACATTTATATTCCACTATTATTCCAAATTTGGCTGTTCCAATTTGATGAAGGTCATGTAAACAGCATATGTAACAGGGTCAATTAAACTGCAGTAATATGTGTGTGTGACAAGTCAAATATACATTTGTAATAGTATTATAATTCCACAAAATTTGGTTTAGTTGTTATTACCTGACATGCTAAGGCCTCTGTACACAATAAGTGGAACATTTAATAACCAGTTTTTGTACCCCTATGTTCATCTTTGGGGGTATCCCACCTATAAAGGGTGTCTCCCACCTTATCTCTCCCCTTTTGCTGTTGTGCTACATGAGAGAGGTAAGAGACATTTCTCATGTGCTAATTTCTGTGTGCTAGTGCTGTTAGGCTATGATTATAAGTTAATTTTATGCATAATCATACATAATCTTGTGTCGCTTGATTTGGGTAGGGGCTGGAGTTTGTATGGTTGTGTGTGACAGAGGATTTTTGTTTTTGCCACCTGTTGTCAGGAGAGGCATAAACGGCGATCGCCTCCAAAGATATCAAGGCTGGAGTAGTAAGCAGAAGCACACCTACTTTTAAACATTACAAAAGATTTATCAACGGGTTGTTGCTGGATACGCGCAAATATGAAGTATTTATTAGGACGTACGTCATGGCTGCATGTAAAAGGAAGTATCAGTGGAATATTCATTATCATAGTCATGTAAACAGCTTAGTAGGAATATTTTGTTTTTCAGAATAAGGACAAACACCAGAATATTTTGCACATGTAAACAAAGTCATTGAGTACGATTCCTGTTCAACTGTACCCATACTTTTTGTAATGACAATATCAGTACTACACATGACCTCAGATGAGAAATTGCCTCATTCGTTACAAAAAACTTGGTCGGATCATCTGTTCTTTTAATTTAAGCATTTTAAGAGGTCCAGCTGGCAGCAAAATGTGTAGCTCTTCAGTGACATGTTAACTAACAAACAACTTCAGGACGGAGAGAAAAAAAAACAGCTTGCCAGGGAAAAGAACCAGTGTAGAGGAACTTCTGACTCAACAAACCTTTTCCATCATGTCTGTTGCCTCCAGTCAAATTGAGCTGTCGGAGCCAGTGGAGTTCCAGTCTAAATTCAGCATGGCTTGGCTGTAAGTGACTGTATGGGGCTTGGAAAATCAAGTCCATAGGCCAGGGACAAATTTGTCTGCCACTATCAATTATGCCCAAGTTAAATTCTTTTGTCAATAAAAGCCTGTTTCCACCTCAGCATGTGTCCTATATTAAATCACCCATGCTCCCTCTAAACAGCACGGTTGGCAAGGTGTGTTTTTTTTTTTCCTTACCTCTTTTTCTCTGCTTCATATCTGCTGAGGAGACGCTGCAGACCTCCACACTTGAAGCCCTGGAAATGGGCTGCAGGGGCACCGACAGTTACAATGTCATAGAATGCATCTGTGAGGAGAGAAAATAGAGTTCATGGGATTAAGAAAAGATGTATAATATGGTGCTTTGGAAACATCAGCACTAACAGACCTTGAGGCGAGAAAAATGAGATAAATTATCCAAGTCAAGGTATAAAAAATACTTAATTTTGAGTAAGATTTTACAAAATATCCTCTCTGGCAAAGCTCTAATAAGTGTTATATCAACAGTTTGTGATGCCAGATGAGGACTGTGTCAGTATTTATGAATATGCCATGCAGCTGTGGCATGCAAGGCTTTAGTTCACATTAAAAAGTCAAAGTTACATGGTGGGTTTCCTGCAAGGTGTTACCTTTTGTAACCTGCACATAGTATTTTTTAAGCCCACACATACATCATATTTATGTACAAATAAGGGGCATGACATTATTCTGCACTCTGTCAGCAGAGTTTCTTTTAGGTGCACATATTTCATGTTGATTTATCTTGTGTCTATATGGCTCTATTGCTAGTCATTTCTCTCTGGCCATCTTTTGGTCTTAATGTAGCGTTGGTCCCATGTTGAACCAGAAGGACGGCCAATGTCACAGCGCTTCATTCCAATTTGCACACCGCCATCACAAGTAAATAAACACTTCACAGACGGCTAGGCGGACACAGAGGTGCTTACAACAAGGCTTGTTTTGAATGAGTAATGGATGAGGCCGACAATTAAATCTGGGGAAAAAAAAGGGAGGCGAGAGGGAGGTGGACAGGGGTTTATGGGGTTGAATATTTTGGTGTGGTTTAGTGCCAGGTCGGTTAATGAACACCTCCGGGAAAGCAACAGTGCACAGCTCCGACCGCAGGAAAACACTGCTTGAAAAATCGTTGAAAATAGAAATTAATGACACAACACAGCTCCAAGTGCTGCCACAGACATGTGAATGACCAACAGCCTCCCGTCCCCTAACAACACCACAATAGACCAATAGTGGTTTGATGTGGGGGCTTCGCTACTACCCACTGCTCCTTCCATTAATTATCCCTGTGCCTGGCCATGAGGCTCCCTGTCCGCCACACGTTTGGCCTCCAGAGTTTTCGGATGTCCAAGTTCCCTTAATTGGTTCTCCCACAGCCGAAGTACACTGAAATACAATGGTGGGTTTCAGAACATCAAGCACAATGACCAATTTGTGCTTGATTTGCCTGCTCCTTCTCTCTCACCATCCTTTGCTCAATATATCAACAACAGAACGAGCCATTTAAGTACTGAGAGGACAGTTGCTCTCTAAAAGAGGAAATTGATTGTGGCGGTCAGGATGAGTGGTTATAATTCATACTTAACCCATTCCACAATCCTGTTTAACAATGACAAAACATCCTTTTTGACCCAAATGACTGCTGAACAATGCTCCGAGTGAAGCTTTGCCAAGCTGAGCTTTTTAGGCTGGAAATATTTTTGCAGTTGTCATTTTGGAGACAGAAGACAGCCGTTCTCGGCAAAACAAATGAACACTGTTTGGAGCTCCAAGTGTTTTTTCTTCTCCCCGATTTCCTTTTCTTGCTGGATGATCAATAGACAAAATGAAAATGAATGGTTCAGGGTCGTTGAGTGGATTGCATAGCCAAACTCAAGGAAATGCATCACTTCAGAAAATCAAATGGAACAATAGAGCAATTGACTACAGTTGTAAACTGAGACTCAGCTCCATTACTGAGCCAGTTTCATTGTTTCCTGTGCCTGACTGATTGCAATCATTTATTGCATGTCTTTTTCCTTTTTAAATCCAACAAAATGTGCAGTTAAACGGCAGTTCACTATCAAACAATGTTATAACAGAAAATTAAACTATAAGGTACCTTCATATTCAGTCATTTTGTTACAGCATTCCTGTCACTGGTTTTCCGTACACGGAGTCACTAGTTTCTGCCTAATCTTTCACGTCAGACAGCCATTAAAGTCAAGTTCACTTGATTCTAAATCTACGTAGGTGCATGTGGTGTACTTAAAGATTAATTTTTGTGATTTTTGTTTTGTAATTTTTTACCTTTACTGGTTAAATGACAATTATCATACAGACAGGAAATATAGACTGAGAGAAAATAGGGGAAAACTACATGTAACAAACTACAAAACGACACCTTCCTACTTTATTAGAGCAAAAAATATATTTTTTAAAATATCAGTAAGATATTTAAAGGTATACTATGCAGGGTTGTCGGTTACTGTTTGTAAACATGCTCGCCAGCAAAAGCTAAAGTAAAAGCTAATCCTAGATTCACTCTAATTTGGCGTTTCACCTTGCTATATTTGCATTGTTCTTTTCCAGAAGGGTTTAGACACAGTCTTGCAGACTACCCACTTCACTACTCGACCCCCCCCCCCCCCCCCCCCCCCCCCCCTAAACCCCCCCCCCCCCCCCCCCCCCCCCCCCCCCACCCCTAAACATAGTGTGTCTGCAGCTGCAGCGAGACCTACTTGTTTTTTTTCAGTGTTGTGTCTCTTGGATGCCTGCTGCTTATGATCTGTCACCTTGTCAAAAAGCCCCGACCTCACCTGAGTGTTGGGGAGTGCACAGAAAGTAAGAAAATACAGGCAGAGGGCGGTGTCTCCGCAGATAACTACACCACCACACACTTCTAGTGAGTCCTAAGTTAATATTGAGAGGGAATACTTCTGTGTGAGTCCATACATTGTTTTTTAGGAAAATCCTGCATAGTATATCTCTAAAAAATCTGCTCTTAATGTCTGTCTGCCACAGCACTGCCTTTAAATATCACGCACTGTTAATTCAGATGTCTTCAAAAAGATGGTACACTAATGATGATGCACTTAATCTAATTATATTAAAGGTCCTCTGTATTTTAAAACACGTAACTGAAAATGAGTATCAACATTAAGTTTTATACCCAAGACAAGTTTCTCCTTACCGCGTTATCTATAAGCTGCCACAAAATGTTGTGCAGACAGTTGTGTTATTACTGTATCTACATTACATACTGTACAGTATCACTTGCATGTTGATGTTATTTTGTTTCCTGTTAAATATACTGATCAAACATACACATGCATATATTGATATAAATGTATGGATAACAGACAGAACGTTTATGATGTATGACATGAATATGCAGTCATCATTCAAAAGAAAAGTCATCCACATGAGGACTGACAGTACGGGGTGAATGTCAAACTCACATTTGGATGATTATCTGCACACTGCATGTCAAGTGATGTCTCTTTTCATGAGCCCATAGACATTTAATGTAACCGACTTGTATGTGAGATGATGTGCAGTATGTTTAAGGTGAGAAAAAGGGGAGAAGAGACAGCTTATGCATTAATTGTATTACATGAAACATTTAGTAGACTATGGTAGTTATTTTCTTTTTAAAGATTTACTGGGTTTATGTAGCATATATTTTCATATAACGAGGTTTTGTGACTTAGATATTAATATGCTAGTTTAGATCTCTGTTTTTACCCAGATTTCTTAATTAACACAATTAAGCCGATGGGAGCAGTGCGTATCCTGCAGGTACTCCAGATCCTACTGTAGTGGAGTTTACACACACAGACACATCAGCTACAGCACCACTGCCTGGAATTGAGTCAAGGTGTGAATTGGCCCCACAGAGGGTAATTATCAGAGTGTCTATCAATCAATTGACAAACTCCTCTAAGGCTCGTTTTATCTTGATTTTCCCTTTTTCTGCCGTGACAGCACGAGACAGGTTTCAGGCTGTATGATGACTTGATTTTACTTATTTTATCTGTCATCCCTGATGTCTTCGCTGAAAGAAGCACAGTTTATGTCAAGGTTTTGTCTGTCTTCAACTTCCCATCAATCATCTGGCGTATAGTTGAAATGGAGCCCACTCGCAGGTAGCAAGGCAGCATTTTAGTCACCTTAATACAATGAGACAGTTCCAGGGCACTGCCAGCTAGAGAGCAGCGGAGGAGGAGACAGCCCAGTCTTTCTCTCAGGAATAACGCAAAGGGCTTAATTAGTGTTTTGTGTGTTTTTCTGAGGCCAAGTTAATTCTCACCTTTCAGCCCGGGCGATGACCTAGAACCAACCTGTCTGAGCCTTCTGAGTATCTCTGACAGATGGAGAGGTCAGGCATAGAAAGACAACAGGAGGTGACAACCACAGCAGCTTATAGAAATGCGTCAGATGAAACCACCTTTACACAACACCTGCTCTTAGGAATAGGAATGTCAGCTTTGGTTAATTTTGCTTTCAACGCCCCGACATCCATTAACCAGTTATTAACCAGTGAATTTTTTAAGAAAGGCCTTTCCTTTTAGTCTGGCACTCTTCTGACTCAATAAACTTTAGCAGCACATGTCAAATCAGTGTTCATTTAGATGTAGTGAGAATTTTGTGATGTTTTGAGATGTCTTGCATGTTAGCTTTGCTGACAGACAGCAAGCTAGCTGCGTTAACATGAAAAAAAAACTGAGGAGTAGCTTAATTGACCTATACATTGACATTTGTAACCAGTCAAAAATATTCTCTAACCCCTGATATCCCTGATTTGGAATTTTCAGGTCAAACAACTATTGGGCAGAGTTGCTTTTAAGCAGGTTTGTAAAACTATTGAAAGCAACTTTTATCGAAGTTTGATGATACCAATATATGAAATAACATGGAAAACAATATGAAAAGTGACGCTTGTAGTGACAAACCTATTGTCAAGTATTGTCACCTGAATCTGCAGCTCTTGCAGCCTTATATTTCTACAGTGAGTTTTAGCTCATTGTTAAGCTGTCCCGTTCACTGTCACTCCTCTTGTGCTGTTTAAGGCTGCAGCAGTTCACTGTTTTCAGTGAAAAAGCACTAAAAACCCACTACACGTTATCTGGTCAGCACCAAACAGCAGACAGACAGTTAGCAACTAGCTGCTGAATAAGCCTAGTGGAGCATTTAGCAGCTAAATATTTCCCTCAGAAGTTGGTAGACATTAACAAAAAAAAAGCAAGAAAAAAACTGAACAAAAACGGAGAAAACACTGGACTTGTTTTCAACAGGTAAAAGTATTTGGTGCAATAATAGGTCTAACAGACATCTAAAGCAGAAGTGCAATACCTGTTTTTCTGGGGCACGTCACCCTCATCCTCTGGGTGTGCAAGTTTATTGGGATGAACTCCAGAGATTTCTGGGCTTTGCAGCAGCTTGGCTTGAATGAACGACCTAAAAAAACAGAGAGACAATTATATGTCATATTGTCCTAAAATATACCTGAGTTAGTGGATGTTTCAAAGATAAAAACATCCCTATAAAAGCTTCTTGTGTTATAGAAAGCCCTCTTCGATCTTTCCAACATGACTGCTTTATATGGCTTTTCTCTTTATTACCTTGTTTATGAGCGTATGAAGTGAGGCATAAAGACACAGGAACAGATTAGCAAACATTAGATAATAAATTGGATTGATGTTCAAATGTTCTCTTTGATTTTCCAATGAAAAGAAAACCCTGGTGTAATCGACTGACTTGAGATATATTTAATGAACAACTGAGTGACATAAGGGAATACATAGCACCAAATTAAAATCCGTTCAAATTAGAGTTTGTAGAAGCAGCTGTAGTGCGGATTCAATTACACATTGTGAGGGTGTGATTGTTTTCACAACTTAATTGCCACAATATTCAAAGTAAAATGGTGGCAAACACAGAATAAAATGACCATTTTTATTTGTCTCCAGTGAGTGGACGCTTAATAAGTATGCTTTAAAAATGCTGCAAGAAAAACAAAGAACAACACAACTAAAGTTTCAAATTAGTAAAGCTCAATTTACCCAGATATTTTCCCAAAGAAAGCATAACTGTAACATAAAATGTCACAGATTACACAAACACTGTTCAAAGCAGTAAATAACAAGTTATTTATTGTTTTGCATTGAGTTATGATTTAAATAACATTAGCCCTCTGAACCATTCTACTTTTAAATGCCTGTGCAAGATCGCTGACACACACTGACGTATATCAAGTAGAGGATGTATCAATTAGAGATCAACAAGCATCTCAAACGTAGCTCATTTTCAATCAACTGCCTATAACATCCTCTAATGAGCAGTGTAATCCTTTCAGCACAGGATTTTATGCCCTTTGCAGCCACGGCTTTGTTCGAAATGTCCAATTAAAAATTTTCTGACAAACGATACTCTTTATTCGAGGCTTATATTTAAGCTCGGAATCACAATCTGGCACTTCACGTTGGCTGCTCAAATCTCCAATATGTAAATAGGGTTGATGAGACCATTTGAGACGAGGCAAAGCTTTCAAGAACATTCAAGGAACACAGGCAATTTAGCAGTATTGTGATGTTTGCCAGCAGAGGTAAGTCAGTAAAAAAAGAACATAGTCGAAACAAGTACAGAAGACCGAAGAATACTCATATCACAAAGTTCTGTAATCTAGTTTGGCATCAAAACTTTTAATTAAATCCTCTTTTAAAACAAATGAATTTGAATTGCCATCTAAGGAATTAAAACTTGTGTAAAGAGAAGAAGGAAAAAAAAAAAGAGTAAAAACTGCTCTAGTGCAAGTTACATGTTTTCAGCTTGTCTGCCGCAAGTTATTTTGTCATAGAGGTTGTAGAGAGCCTTGACGCTTTTTAAACATGCTGATGTAATTAATTTATCCAAATGTAATGTAACAATTCTGTAAATTTGTGTGATGGAAATGAGTAAATATGCAAATGCACTGATCAGACACAAAATTAAAACCACTGACAGGTAAAGCAAATAACATTGATCTTGTTACAATGCAATGTTCTGCTGGAGAACTTTGGTCCTGGCTTTCATGTAGATGTCACTTGAGACACACAACAAAGGAGGACAATGTGCCATGCCACTCTGCACTCCAAATTCCCCAGCATCTATCCGACATGCTGGTACCCCCTCACAACCCATGGGACGCAAAGGATCCATCGCCAACGTCCTGGTTCCAAACACTGCAGGACACCCCCAGAGGTCTTCACTATGACCTGTCAAGGGATGGGCGCAGACCCTTATGGGGTGTCCTCAGGTGTCTGGCACAAATTGTTGGCTGCAGATCCTGGATTGGTATCTGGGGAATTTTGTGGCCAGTTTGACACCTTCAGGTCTTTTTTCACATTCCTCTTATCATTCCTGAGCAGTTTTTGCAGGGTGGCATGTTGCACTGTCCTGCTGGGAGGGACACTGGTATCGGGGAGTGCCACTGCCAGGACCCAAGATTTCCCGGCAGAACACTGCACCATAACAAGATGATCAATGTTATTTACTTCACCCATCAGTGGTTTTACTGTTGTGGCTGATTAGTGTACATGTGCTTGAGGAGATCCATCTGTTCATTTTCATTATCGGTGAACTGCTTTAGGTCTATCTGACACATTTGAATGGCTCGTATAAGACTGAATAGACCTTTGCATTCTGTGGTGCTTTATTAGTGTTGTATTTCAGTCTTTTTTATAACATCACAGTGATAATCTACAACATTTTCTTCTGTGTTTCTGATATTATCATGTGTGATATGTAGTTAGCTGTGCTGTGATCACACAGATAATTCGACACACCAGCGTTGCCGGTGGTGTGACTACTGATCCTTGAATTGACTGTTAAGGAAGTTTAATTTTTTTCGTTGGCAAAGATCCCCTGCTGTCTCTCTGCCCGCCCACAAAGATCATGGCTTATCATGATATCCACACAGTTTTTCTCGTCCTTTTTCAGACAGTCTGCTGATGTGGGAAACACATCAAAACATACATCCATTTACACTGAAAGTTATTATTTCACCCCAGGGAAGATCTACCAAGACAGACTATGAACTTTCATACGGAGAGTTACATCAGGTAGCGGATAGATTCTATACAGAGGCTATATGCAAAGTTGTATTTGTGGAGCCTTATGGTTCTGTATATCTCAAATCAGTATCCTCGTGCAATTACGACAGCAAAATGAGAATGAGGAAGAGATTTCATTAATTACTGAAATTTCTCCAACTCACTGACTGGTCTGTGGTCTTGTCAACAATGATTATTTTCTCATCTAAAAGGCTGACATTCTGCGACTGTTTCCAAATATTAAAGTGAAGCCGAGTGTGCCTCATACTGTAGCTCATCAGGTTTGTTAATCGCAGCATAATGACAAAAAAGAAATAGTATCCACACTCTGCTCTTCTGCCTGACATGGGCCCTAACTCTACTTTGTGTTGAGAAGAACTAAACTAAGCAGTACACAGTTTTCCATCCTGTTCATTAATTACTCTCGAGGCATCAGACCTGTATGCAGCAATCAAAGCTTCAGTGCTACAAAGGTTTATGTTTACACAGAATCTAGATGAGAAAATCTGTTACCTGCCACAGGTTTTTAACATCATTTGGCAGGTTGGCCAAACGTGAAAACAAATCCACTGCACCTCCATTACTGTATATGATGCTGAAACTGCTGACCCACTCAAGCTGAAATGTGTTACCTCAGAAATGGATAACACTTATGACTCAGCTGGAGCTGACAGTGATGTGACTTATTACTTTCAAGCACTGAAAATCAATCATGTCTTCTTCCAAAGGTGATAACAGATTTGCTGCTACTTATCAAAGTGCAAATGTAAACAGATGCCATTTCCGCCACTGAATATACTATCTGTTGACTTAATATAGTGAAGACCAAAGCAGTAGCCTCATATGTAGAAATGTGCAGTCTAGAACACTAGGAGACAGATTTGCTGAGGCTGTTGGGCCTCTTTTTCAGATGTGGTGTGATGCATTCATATGTGTTCTGTATTTATCAAGCAGACACACCAGGCTGGAGGTGCAGTTTGTTTGGCGTTTGTGTGAGTTTTTGCGACACTACAGCCACACTAACAGATTTATGAGGCTCTATGCAAAGTGATCTCATCCCCAGTCGTCGCATTTTGATGCTTGGGCAGAAGCCGTGGGTGTTACTAAAATTATGCTGGGGGCAGCCTTTTGCATCGTATCTTGACGCAAAAGGGGTGTGCAATGAGAAGAGGTCCGCAGTAAAAATATGTTGGTGGTTAGGTTTAAGCAACAAAACCACTTGGATACAGCTAGGAAAACTTGTGGTTGACTAAGTCACTCAAGGCAACATACCAAAGAGATCTTCGATTTGGTTTAGGCAACTAAAGTACTTTGGTTCCTGCTCTGTAAAGATCACAGATGTTGCTATAAAACACATGGCTTTGAGTGGCACAAATACCGCAACTGATGTTGTTTTTTGTTGGCCTGAACACCGGTCTTCTAGGTCAAAGTGCGGTGTTGGATGGTCATAATAGTGACGCCTGGGATCCTGCCCAAACGGCACATTTTGGCAGTAGTTAGACCAGATTAGTTTTCAGCACAGATGTGTTTTGAGCTAAAGGCTAATATCAGCATGCTAATGTGCTGATGTTCGCAGGTTATATTAACTAGGTTCACCATTTTCTACATGCTAACATTTGCCTGTTACCACTGACTAAACACAAAGTACAGCTGAGACTAACGGGAGTGCCACAAGTGTTCTGGTACTGAACCACAAACCAAAGTACTAAGTGAACTAAAATATTGACCAGACAATGGCACTAAAGTCAATCCTCTAGGGACCTTTAATATCTGTAGCTACCTTCACAGCAATCCTTGAAATAATCAAAATCTCAAAAAACATGGATATTTCAATCTCATGCAACCCAATTGCTAGAATAAATATTGCCATTGTACATTTCTGCCAACTACATATACAATACGTAACATTTGTAAATTATTATGCACTGGATACATCGAAACCTAACGTTTCTTTACATTTCAGTGATGCTGTAGTTCATGTGGTTATGTTTAGGCACTAAACCACTTGATTGTAATGAGGGAAAGATCACGTTTTGGCTTGAAATACCCAGTTTTGGGGGCACAAGCCGAACAGGAAACACAGCAATGTAAAAAACAGCTGCTTTTCATGGCCCTATCCCCGCTGGAAAAACAGCGAGGGGTCACTAAAACACAACAAGTTTGTTGTTTGTTAGTCTTGAACAGTGGTCTGCAGCCTGGCAGGCGTCATGCCTTGACATGTCATTCACCATCCCCTCCGTCACCAGATGGCAAAGTCAGCTCATATACTATGTCACTTTAGAAACGTTGATATGATACATGTGGTATGTACACATGTAATGTATTCATGGTTTGCAGAAATGCACAATGCCAACATTTTCTTCTGGC